GGAGTCAATCGAAGTTGAGAAGACGAAACTAGCAAAAGAGTAACTAATTGACCCTACAACTGTAGTGAACATCAGAACCAGGTATATCCATTTTAGTCGATGCCATACCTTAAAACGAGCATGCAATGTAAGCAAAATATCATTCAACAGAGTAGCTGGCCACGCTGGATCAGAAAGCTCAGATGCAATGATGGATTCCAGCTCATCAAATGATTCATAGGGAAGTTGCATCCATATCAATGCCTTGATCACCATTGCTCGAACATAAACGCATTCACAGGCAACAGTTGTCCGAACTACCTCCATCAGTGAAGCTAATAAACTTGCAATTGTTTCCTTGCTACCGGTTGAACTTGACATAGAAGAGGCCTTACGAGCACCTATCATCAAAAGCAGAGGGAAAGAATGCCCGGAAATAATGGTAAAAAAACAGGGAACAAACTCTTATCTTCCAGTATGAACGCACTTAAGGAAAGTAACCATAGAAACAACACAAAATCCATAAAGCATCCAAAACTCATAACCTCCCTACAACTTGTACAACATAAAACGATTTTTATGTAGATAGATGAGACTTTCAATTCAATGCAAACAAGGAAGAAAATGCCATGTGCATTTGTTTGTCACAAAACATGCGCTAACTCTATCAGTTATCCAACATTTTGTCACTAAAGTGATACCAAGCGGAAAATTCTTACTAATTCAATTGTTGCTTACTCAATTGGACAATATTATAAAACATCAGCACCTTCTTCCATCCAGGATCAACCCTATGGGTCTCAACCCAACAAGGGAAAAAGAAAAAAGTCAGTAAATGAAGAAATAGGCTCAGAACTAGTAACCTGCTGATTTTTGTACTAAGGTCTAACTATTTCCAGGAGGTTTTCAAGTACTGACAAAGCCCAAATTCCCAATAATATTCAGAGCGTACATCGTACAAGGATAGGGTGAAGAGACCAAATTGTGCTACAATAAGTCATTATCTTCCCCTAAAAATTAAATCACATACGACTCTAGTGAAAGAAAATTTACCATCTGCGGTAGGATTTTCATTAAAATCATCATCAGCAAACTCATTGATGCCAACTCCTTCATCAATATCAGTCAAGCCAACAGAAAATGCTGCAGCGCGACTTTTTCCCATTTCCTGTACAACTCTGGCTGCTGCATGAAGGACAGGCCTAGAGAAACTTCGGAAAGAACTTTCTAATCTGCAATAAGAACCAAAAAAGATAGCATGAGTCTCAAGTAACTTAATAAGTGAGACACTTATGGATGTACCCTTTTTCTTTTGTGTTATAACCACTGGTTTCAATCTATTTCGAGCTGCATCAAACAACAAGAACAGCAAAGCCTATCTGACTAAGCGCATGTGCATTCCCAAGCCTCAAACTTGAGACTTTGATTAAGCTGGAAAAGCCCCTCACCAGCTCATCCACATGCTTGGCAATGGAAGAATTTAAATTAAGTGCATGCTTATATGGAAGCTGGAACTTGCAGCAAAAAGGTTAAACAGAGCCAATTACTAGAGACTATCGTATTGACCTTCTCATCACAAGTTTAATTAAAGGTTGTGGACGCCTTGTCTTTTGAGATTTGTCTTTTGAAGATTTTGAGTCATTTTCTGGTAACTTCAACATCTCCCTGGTTAGCCGGTACCAGCCAGCAGCGCGTTCTTCAGTCCTACAATCAGAAGAGTAAGTAATAGGAGAAAGTGATACATCAATTAAAACAGTGACACAGCGATGGAAAGCAGAGAGTACAGACACACGAAATTATCAGAAAGTAATACTTGCACACACAGCAATGCAAAATGAAAGAACACACGAAGCACAACAATGTAGAGAAAACTTTCTCATCAGAAGACGTTTAGGAGGGGGGAAAAGTAAACAAACAAACAGCTTACTGCATGAGTACCTCTCTGTGCTATCATACTTTCCCAATATGCACAAAACTGCCTCAAAGCATACTCTTTCACTTGGATCCAGGAGAAGTTGATAGAGTAATGAATTAAATTGTGATTTAATGTCCGGCCTCTCTGTACACAAATTATTAGAAGAATCACCCATCCACTACATTTCGTTTCTGACCACAAGCTATTCATAATGTCAGAGACACAACAACAATTTACCATCCAGTGCACGAGCTCTCGAAACAGTATGGCACAACTTAGCCAATGCAACTCTAGCAAGCACATCATGCAAATGGAGAACATCCTGCAGAGCCCCTGTTTTACAAGACACCAAATGTAATTAACCAGAAGAACCTGGTAATTTGCACAGTCAGCATATCATAAAGTAGCATCCAATATAAAACACTCTAATAATCACAGTGGAGATGTAACCCAAGAGTCAAGGCAGCTAATGTGCTTAAGAGAATGGGCTGAAGAGCAATAATTAACTTTTTCAACTCATAGTGATCCAACAAATTATAGAACAGACTACATGTCCAGACCAGCAAACTGAAATTAGAACTTCTAACTAGAAGACCTGTCGGAGTCATTTGGTCACATAATGTCTCAGTCACCAACAAGAGAGTACCTATTAAATTGTTTATTTTTATACAAATATCTACGACATGCCTCGAGCCATACAAACATTTTGTGCCACTTTAAACTAGTAGAAAAGCCATCCTACTAATCGCCGCCAATGGTAGAGCAGTGGGATAATCCAGAACATCCACTTGCCCTTGCAAGCAAAAAGTCCTTAATCTCACTCATTTTTTTCACCAATGCCCCTTCTTCATATCAGTAGTCCCCAGAATATTCTACTACAAATTCTTGAAACAATGGCCTGGAGATTCACATTCTTGATTTCTCCCATCACACCCACATTGCCATTAAAACACTCAAAGCATTTCAAATGATGAATAACGACTTGTTTTTCACATCTGTCCCCTAATGCAAAATTGAATATCTTCAGTTTCAGGCTTTTCTTAGTTGTTTCACAGCCTTCTACTCATGCTTCTTGGAAAATCAAATGAGATGCCTTGGAACCAAGTAGTTCAAATAAACTCTTTGCAAATCGCGACTATATGGGAATCTTATGTTTCTTATGTTTAAAATTCTATATGACCTTCATTCCCGTTTCACAGTTCTTGTATCTGTCTGGTCGATTGTGACTAAGTCAAACGGACTCGAAAGGAAATAGTTTTCCAATATGTTCAGTAAAATATTTAATACAGGACCTCAAGAAAAGAATTGAATGCATGATGAAAACTGAAACTCTCTCTACAACAAGATACTAGTTTAAGAAGTTATCTTGAAGAAAGCACTCAAGCACAGAAATTTCTTTGAAATATAATACGTACCTCCAGGGACCACAACTTTTCCTGCAGCAACAAAATTTATAAAAGTTAGACATTCAAAGGTTCACAGCCTGCGGCATAGAAAGAAATGTAGTACGGCGAACATGAAACTGGAAAGGGCATAGAAGACATGAGTCACCCAATGCCATTGCCACTGCATAAGGATCCTTCATAGCTAACTCTGAGATAATCTCCAGTGCATGCCTCACAGCAACAGGATCAGCAAATGAAACCCTGGCAAGAAAATAATTAACACCTATAGATCCAAGAGGCAGTATAGAAGATGTAGACAATAATGTTAATGTAAACGAAAAACAAGAATGATTAATTTTTAAGGTCTTAGTTCTTAGTTCTTTAATGAATTTTTTATCTCTCATATTTTTTATCCATTTGACAACATAAGCATACGTTTAACATTTTATCCACCAAACACTAACAGTTTTTCTTAAACCGGACTTCTCTAATAGCTCTAGTCAGAAGATCAGTTTATGAAACTTACATCCAAGCCAAACATATATGAAGACTTTTTTTTCTTCTTCTTTTGCATCAGCTGTACTGTTTGCTTAACACACTTTCTGAAGTTTTGGCCAGTTAATAAAGTAATGAACTAGGCTGCCTATAGAACATGCGACAGAGTAACCCCACTAACTTAACCAGAGCAAAGATTCTATATGTTCACTGCATTAAACTTATAAACTTACCCCTGAACAGCACGATGCAAAAAGACTGGGTTCCCCGGATCTAAAGGAAGCCTTCTGAGTGCACTCAGGGCACCATATTGCAAATTACCCCGGATGATGGACTAGCGAAAAAAACGAAGTACAATTAACAGATAAAATGCAGGTTCCACACAGTATCAGCGAGCACAAGACTGAATGCAAATAATATGTTGTCATTCATTTGCAGACACATTAAATACTCTCTCGTCAGTAAAGACTTTGGCCATCTCAAGTGATTGAGAACATTGTCCAATTTTATCATCTATAGCACTGTACTAGAGCACACTACCTCCAGTTCAAAGTGACAAGAACACCAAACCAATGAAGGATTATCATAATTCAATCCAATCACTGACTAAAAAAAACATGCCACTCAGAGATTACCAGGCCACTGCAAGATACAGAAAGAAGAGCCATTTGATGAAGATCTAATCAAAGGTTCATAAAATACCTCCTTATCGCCGCCTTTAGTACCAAAAACACCTTTCTTCCGTTTTTGAGGTGTATCAGCAACCTAAAACAAGGTCACATTATCTCAATTACCACTTGTACCATGATGAGTAAATCACATAGAGCAAACATTTTAACAGGTAAAGAAACCTTCTCTTCTTTAATAGTAATTTTTTTTCAACGTGATTATTGGCCTAGGTTTGAAGTGCTGGTGACTTGGGTGTTCCAGATACCAATAGGCCAACCTCTTGGAGTAAGAAGTAAGTAAACCTTTACCCAGGAACCAACACAATTTGCAATTGCAAGTCGAGACATGACCCACCAAACCAATCACAGTTCACAGAATAGTCCGGCAGAATAGTGCTCCTGAGAGGTTTCAGCTACATTATCAGGTTCAATGATATGTTTCTGCAACAGCAGCATGATATTTCATGTGACTAAAATTAAAATTGTATATAATTCCTTTCAATTTGAGCACACGCATACAGATTAGCTGCTGAAGATTCTGCATCTTATAAACTAACTTTACCCATTAGAAGCTCTTAATAGATCCAAGAATGTTTTATCAAGACTGCTGACCGTGATGTAAACTAGATATATGGATGTTTCATAAACATAGCAGCAATTAACATCAGCAAAGAAAATGGAATTCAACAAGAGAAGAACACTCTCCGCGGCTTCATGGACACATTTTTCAAACAGACAAGCATCAAGATAGCAGCATTCCAGCAAAAGTCCTTCAGAGGTCATAAATGACAACTTAAGGAGCTTTTCGTGTCGGGATGTTCCCGCTTTACTAAAATTTATCACTCTCTCCACTTTCAGGATGTCTCTTTTTTCCCGTAGGTGGCCTGGTGCCAGAATGTCAAACAGCTCACCTTTATCCTCGAGGTAATTAGAGAACATGAAACTCACCTAGTGGGTCTCTCTGTAGGATGTCACCACTACAGATATAATCGTCAGCCACAAGCACAAGAGGCACACAACAAACTAGCTAGATGCATCTACTAACAGTAAGAAATCTTGTTCTCCAATTGGCACATTTGAGAACTTTCAAGCCAATGTGAACAACAGGCATCAAACACCATTCAGTTGCACATAATGTCAATAATAGCCAGGGTTGCAACATCCAGAAACCAAAGGCGTTCGCATTGTTATAACCAAGATAGTGCATTACTATGAAGCTTCTAGTTAGCTAGTCTAGAAATGGATAACACAAAGAATAGGATGGAAATTACTAAGTGTACAACTGTAGCCCGTCTTCCAGCATCGGATGATAAAAATATGGAAGAAAATAAGAGAAAAAATTCACCAAGTGTACTTCTTTCGACAAGGAAACTACAAGCAATAGCATGTTCAATTACCAAAATCACAGTAGCCCAGCTACTTACGTTCAACATTGTCAGCTAAAAATCAGCACAGGAGATAGAAGCAACAAACCTTATCAAGAAGGCCAAACACGATCTCATACAATCTGCCCAATATATCGGAGTTGCTTGCAGGAGCATAAGTAAGAGCTTTCAATGCTTGCAACCTCCTTGCATGAACTGCAGTTATAGAGAAAAAGATCTGTCAAAAGCCAGATACTTGCAAGCCAAAGTTCACTATTTGGTGAACGGTTATTTGCAAGAAATAGACACTTATATTGACTATCACCAATTTTTGCTGACGCCTTAGGTCTTTTTTGTAATACATTAAGTTGCTGTCTCCATAATAATCAGAAGAGAACAAGATTCAGTACACATTGGAACCATCTCGCCATTATGTGGTCAACAACATAATTCAGGCAAGCTGGGTCAAAATAAACTATATTGTAAACTGCCATTGTTGGAAGTAAACTTGATGTGACTACTGTGTTTTACTCAGAAGTAATACAGGTTATAAGGTTTTGAAGGCATCACAAAACTGCCAATACACTCTTAAGACATTGTCATGAGATAATTACCACCATCAATACGACAGCATTAGTAAAACGGCAGTGTAAGAAAGTTGCAAGTATTATCAATAATCCCACATCAGATATGATATCATTAAATTAGTGAAGAAACCACTGGCAAGTACGTAGGTTAACCCTCCAGTTAGATGACAAGGTTTAGACAAGTACTTTTTGTATTTTCAATCACTAGTACATTTCGAGACGAGCATGTGTTTGTAAAGTATTAAGGCAATGAGAAAATTGAAGTGGCAATGGCTTACATTCGGTGTCAGCATTTGAAGCCTCAGCAGATAGCTGTGCAATTATTCGCGGCACAACGTCAGCCCTAGTCACACCCCCAACAGCATCAATATCTGCCAGAGCATCCCAGTTAGGAGTAGGGATCCCACCACCAGAACTCAAACCTTGAGCACCATTGTCTGATAAAATTCTAGCCAAGTAGTAGTAGACATAGCGTAAAACAGTTCGATCTTCACACTGCTGATTTAACTGTAGGATAAGAAAAGGGGGAAATAGTTAAATACCATACCCTGCCATCAGTTTTGCCTAAATGTTTCCCTACTCCCATTTCTCCAACTGATGCAACGCTACATTCTGAAAAAATTATCAAGGATCCAGACAGTGTTCTTTTTCTTTTCCTAATAGACCTCCAACAGTTTTTGAGCAGCAAATAACAGACAAAAGTATCAAAGCCATTAATGATAACTTGATATGTTGAGATTCCATTAAAAAAAAGGGAATATTCATACCAGATGGGCTACTGTTGGAAGTAGCTTGCAATAAAAGAAAGGCCAAAGATATAATAATTCAGGAACAACAGTCAGAAAACAGTCACCAGACCAAGAACTAAAATGACAGAAGAGAGCAATGTACCATGAGAAGAGATGGTGCAAGTGAAGGATCAACTGAATTGTACACAGCAAGTTTGGGAAACACATGATGCACCAGCTGCTTCTGAGAACTTTTCTATCAAAAAGTTGTTACACGTACCAAAAGTCAGTAACCTTGCTAGCCACAGATAATAGAGAAAAGATGCGACAAGAAGTAGATTACATTTACCTGATCAGATGTAGCAGCTAGTTCATGGATGCTCCGTGCAAGTTGTGAATAAGAAACTGGCTGCAAAAATAGATATTTAAATACCATAAGCATCAACTAAATCCTGAAAGCGGGGAGCATAGTCAGCTTCCATGTTAGCAGAATAGAAAGGGATCATTGTAGGAAGCCCCCTCTGTTAATTCATTAACTAGCATTCAACGTTGACCAAGCACCTAACGTTAGAACGACGTATTTTAAATGGACAAACAACAGCCTACAGATCATCATCAATGGCTATGCGTGAACGCTCTATCACTGTCAAAAACACAGAGTAGTAGCCAAAGAGTAAACATGAAACATAAAACAGACACGAGTCACATCTCAGATGATAGGAAATGAACTCCAACAGGAGGTGGAAAAATGCTACCATAATATCCTACTTCAATACATTGACTAGAATTTCCCAACTTTTGTGTGTTAAAGTAAAGCACCAAGGGGTAAGCAGTTAAACCAACTTGATTGAAACAGTACAAGAACAGACTCTCCAACAATGCAAGGCAGGCTCTACCTCTGCCAACAAGACGGAGAGGGGCTAGAGAAGCAACAAACAGCCAAGATAAATTTAGAGACACTAATGTTCAAAGTCCAATGATCACGAGGGTAGAGAAACAAGGCACGGTCCTCGTTACAACATTTAACTCATTACCCTTCCAACACCTAAACATGAAATCTTCGAAATTGCATGGCATATGGATGTAAACGTTTGCAGAAACAATACAAACGGTCATTTACTGAACATTCTGATTAAACCAAATGGGAACTTAATGAAGCTCCACAGTGCAACTCCCTGTTAAAGGAGTAGCACCCTAAGACCGCAGTTCAACTTCAATAGCATAATTGATCGTTCCAGCGGATCCTCAAGTTCAATTCTAGAGACAAGCAACCGGCATTATTCATGCTTATGCTCACGCCATTTGATCACTAAAGAAAGCCACACAAAAGGAAATTCAACTAGAAAGAGAGAACGAGGGTGAAGAATATAAAGACAGCAGAGCATGGAGAGACAGAAAGAAGGAAGGTCACCTTTTTCTTTTGTCTTTGGGGCATGATATTGGTTTTCATGGGGTGCAATGCAGCCTTAGCAGCAGAAATGGTTTCGTTTTGGATCTGCATAAGCGTCGCCCTCTTAGACTTCTTCTCCCCCAAAATTGTCTTCCCCGACGACGACGTAGTTGTCATTGGAACCGATGGAAATTGCGAAGCAGCGGCGGAAGCCGATGCAGATGAAGAAGTCGTGTTGGCCGTGGATCCAGAGGCCGCCGGCGGCCGTCCAGGGTCGGCCGTTATCAGATCCATTAAAGTGGTTCCCGACGAATCCTAAAACCAGAAGAAACAGAGGCAAAATTCATTCAGATGGAAATTCCCCGGCGGAGAACTGTAAGGGAAGGGATTCAGAAAATGCAATTACCGCCATCGTAGATCGATCTGTGAGCTCGGACTAACAGGGCAATCGTCTTGTTTGAATCTCGATATCAGAGATTCAGAGTCAGTACTCGACGCATGGAAGTTCAGAAAAAATGAAGAGGACTTCCCACTTTTGTCAATTCGACATTTCGACTTGCCCGTGCCACTGTTTTCCTGGAATTTTTTTTTGTGGTTATATGCCGTTATGGTCCTTCAGATTCTTCTACTTTATCTCGATGCACAAACAAGTACCCAAACTTTCGATTTGAGTGAATTCACCCTCCTAGCTTTATCAGTTAAGAATAATAAATTACGTTATTGACAAGCTATAGCTTTACAAGAAATGTTGTGGATACTGGGAGTGTTCCCGTGGTGCTTACGGTGATAATCATTTTAATCGATAGTATTTGAATAATTTGGTTTGATTAATTTTGATAATTGATTTGGTTGGTTAATGTTTTTAGCTCGTTTGATTTAGGTGGTTTGGTTCATATGCTTCTAACCAATCTAACTAAACTAACTAATTAAAATACATACTTAATACTTTGCATAACCAGTCAAGAGTGAAACGTTCCTTCCCTTTTAGACTCATAAAAATAAAGCTCATTATTATTCATATACTATAAATTTGTATTTGTATAGTGTAGACAACAATATATGAACGTCTCATTTAGATAAAAACTCATATATTATGTTGGATGAAAACTTGAAAGGAAATAATTTTAAAGCTCATGACAATTGCTAAGAGAATAAGTTAATTCACACAAACACACCAATTAATTAACCCGTATAATTGGCATATTTTTTTAGATCAATAATTCTATTGACTGTAAATTAATTGTATTAGTTGCATGTATTTTTATTTGTGTTAAGGGTTAGCTACAACTTACATCTATGTGTTGATTTTTATGTTTTTATCATTATATAAATTATTAATTATTGTATTAACGGAAGATCAAAGGTTGGTTCTTCATCTCGTATTTCTTGCAAATCAGCCTCTGCACCGAAAAAAGAAAAGAAACAAAGATAATTATATATTGATTGAACCAAATAGACAATTACATCCTAGAATTCAGCCAGACCTGATAATGAAACAAACGACTTGTAGTCGGGGACAAAGACAAGGCTTTACGAGCCACCAAATGAGCTACCCTATTGTTCCGCCGACCAACAAATCGTATAGTAAACCCCATATTCCCATTAAAAAATTGGACCACCTCCTCTAGAATCGAGCCTACACGACTATCCCGAACATCCCGCCTAATAATCTTCTCAATGATCACCTGGGCATCACCTTAAAACCGCACCTCCGTAAAACCGCTAGCCAAACACCACAGGATAGCCTCCCGAAGAGCAAGCACCTCAATCATCATAGGGTCATCGATCAACGGGAATTGGATCCCCTTAACCAAAAGGATCGCTCTATCCGAATTCATGATCACCATACCACCTGCCGAATGGGAACCCACCATTACAGCTCCATCCCACATACAAATCGCCACATTCGACCCAACTGGAAGCGAGAAAGCTGAAGGTCCGATCCACCGGAAGGCCAATCCATTCGTTCACCTACTGTTGGAACTGTTGCATCAAGGCCGGGATCCCAAACTGTTTGCCCTCAAAGACAACCCAATTTCGAGATCGCCAAATCCGCCATAATACAGCAACTACCGCCATGAGCAAGGGTGGTTGGCGAATCAAGGCTAATAATTTTCTTAGGAAGAGTGGGAAAGTATGATGAGGCAACCCTTCACCCAGGTGGGCAAGCCCATAGTGGTCCCAAGGGGCACGAGCAACCGGACAATCCAGAAACATATGCTCCAGAGTCTCCGAAGTTGCCCAACACACCGGGCATTGAGGAAGTACATCGACCTTTTTTCCAATCAGGGCCTCCGTACTTGGCAGTATTCGATGGAAGATTTGCCAGACAAATACCTTAACCTTGGGGGAATATCAGCCCCCCATAAACGGATCCAACTGGTCTTATCCATCCAGCAAGCCTGAGCCCTCCACCGACCTCTCTGACGATCCAAATTGACCGCAACGTAGTAAGCAGACTTAACCGTAAAAACTCCATCAGAAGTCCCATGCCATATTAGCTTATCCTCAACATTCTGTCGAGGCAATGGGATGGACCAGGTCTGCGGATTAAACCATTGATTTAGCTTCAGCTCATTCGAACACCCCTCACCATGTTGCATAACCTCTGCCACCGTCAACATTTCCCCATCAGGAAGAAGTCAAGGATTATAAATTGGAGGTAGAGGATGCTGCTAAGGGATCCAATTGGACGTGAGAAGAGGGGTCTTCTGCCCATTACCAATTTGCCAACGTAACCCTGATTCCAACAGCTCACGCCCGAAGAGGACACTCTGCCATCCCCAGGAAGGACGGGACCTTGCCGTTGCCATGAGGAAGGATCCATTCGGAAAGTATTTCCCTTTATAAACCTGGGCAATGAGGGACTGAGGTTCTTGGAGGATCCGTCATCCAATTTTAGCTAATAAGGCTTGATTGAAATGCTCAAATCGGCGAAAACCCATACCCCCCTCATGTTTGCTTTTGCACATATTTCGCCAGAACACCCCAACGAATCTTTGATTTCCCCTCTTCGACCCCCACCAAAATCGAGCTAGATGTTTGTCTAAGTTGTTTAGGATCTTGTAGATTTTCCTCCTGCATTAGATAAAAGATGTAAGTGATGACATAGTAAATATAAAGTAAAAGAAACGTAAAACAAAAAAGTTATATAATTTAGTTAAACGATGATTCAGTATATGTATATGAGTAAGTGTTAGTTAATTTTGTATTTAGTTATATAATTTAGCTAAATGATGTTTGTTTATGCATTAGTGTTAAATCTGGACATACTGAGTTAGTTTCATATTATCAATTCAATATCATTAACCTCTTAAGCAAGGTTGTCAAACCCGCGGGTTGACCCGCACCCCATCGAGCTAGTGGGTGAAGGGTTAATGGGTCACGCATTTCAGTCCGTAAATATGAAAAGAGTCATTATATTGTACTTATCCTAATAAATTATATCAAATCTCATATAACATTACACCAAAGTAACATGTCGTACTTAGATCCAACATATAGTGAAAATTCACACACACTTATATAACATCAATATTCAAATGTTCAACTAAGGATTCCAAATATTGAGTTAGGCGAAAAGAAAAATCGGATAATAGGCGCATTTCCCAAACCAAAGGAAAAAAAATGACACAATTTGACCTCCAACCCGATACCTTGTAACGATCGACTCGGAGGATGCGTGCGGCCAGTTTTTCTCATCGGGTCAGCGTCAAAGTGGGTCGGCCCGCGGGTTGACAACCTTGCTCTTAAGCATGGCCCTTAACCATATACACTAAATTCTAGACCATACTAAACTTGATGTGTAACCACATCATCATACCCCCTAGCACTTAATTCCAAACTCAATTTCCATAAACATAAACAAATTCCTTGAGGTGTAGCAACGCAATATAACCAAAGGCTGTAGCTCCTACCAAAGCCCTAAAAATGATAGGATACATATGTGAAGTGAAATAAATAGCAAATCACTCAACATGGAGGAGACAAACATGAGCTAATAACACTACTTATAATCCAAATTTGGTGGTTACGTTGATCGCTACAAAGTACAAACTACACTCTTAACATATGCCAAGTGGCAAGTGAACCACAGATATGCTCGCAGTAATTAAAAGAGAAAGTTAATACTATGAACTGTTGCTTTGCTGGCCTGGCATGGCTTCTCTCACACCAGCAATATCCCCTGCAGGCCCTGTCACTGTTCTCGTCCTATAGCTTCCTTCCATGTTATGCATTATTTTTGCATGTTACGTTGATAGATTAGTAGTCGACAAACGAGCAAAAACATAACACAGACAAAGACCATTAGCGTTAATTTAGTCACCAAAAATGTCATCACTGACGTCACGTACATTTTCCCACATTCCAACAGTATCGGATTCAAGGGGTGGCCACCCCGGGTCACGGCCCAGCCCTCCTCGATCTACGTCCGTGATTAGTATGGTCCTTATGATCAGTTTATCGATTTTAGTAATTTGGTCCAGTGTTATTTTATAACAAGATTGTGTGTAATTAGGAAAATGGGTCATATTATGAACATTTTCAAATCACAACTCTAAATTTTTAGCCTAGAAAATCTAGCTTCAGTGATTCTCGTCTAAAGAAAAAACAAACAATGAAACCAAAATAGGGATGGACACACAATACAAATTGCTTAGTCGATTGATTTGTCTGATGTTGACATTGGCCGTTTCAACAACTACTCTGGATAGAACCTTTTCAATAATGAAAAAGGTGAAAAATGATTTGCGCAACAAAATGAGCGATGAATTTCTCGCAGAATGATTAACTGTTTTATTTGAAAGAGAGTAATATGCTATTGGTATGGATGTATACTCAATTACTGATGATTCACTATATTAAAAGATCGACGGTACAATTGATATTCTAAAAAAATTTGAATTTATTTTTACGGTATCTAATTTTCTAACGAAATACGGTACAGGGCTCTACTATACTCTGGATCAAAAATGCATTCCAATCACCAGCAACCTTATCTCTATATATCGCGAGCACACACCAACACACAGCACACACCAACCTTATCTCTATACTCCGCCGTCCAAAACCATGACGGCCGCCGATCAGCAACACCGCCGCCCTCCTCACGTTCTGGTGGTGACACACCCGGCACAAGGCCACCTCAACCCAGCCCTCCAATTCTCCACGCGCCTGGCAGCTCTCGGATGCCGCGTCACCCTCGTCACCACCGTCTCCGGCCACCGCCGCATCGCCAGCTATTCCCTCCCGGAGGGGCTCACCGTCTCGACATTCTCCGATGGATACGACGACGGAGTGGGATCGTCGTCCTCCTCCTCCAAGTCGTCCCAGGCCGACGACCAGACGCAGCAGTGGGCGAATTTCGTGACCCGCGGGTCCCAGTTCGTGAGAGAGCTCATCGCTTCCAACGCCGAGGGAGGAAAACCTTTCGCTCGCTTGGTGTACACGCTGCTGCTGACGTGGGCGATGGAGGCGGCGCGTGAGGAGAATCTCCCCGCGACGCTCCTCTGGATCCAGCCGGCCACCGTCCTCGACATCTACTACTACTTCGTCAACGGGTACGAGAAGATAATTTTCGACGGCTGCAAGGATCCGTCTTTTGTCGTGGAGCTGCCTGGAGTCCACGTCAGCTTCACTTCTAAGGACCTTCCTTCGTTCCTCGTCCCTTCAAATCCGTATCCTGCGGTTCTCAAAGTAATGAAAGATCAGATTAAAGTTCTGTCCTCTTTCACGGAGGAGGACAGACCGAAGGTGTTGGTCAACACCTTCGACGCGTTGGAACCCGATGCCCTGAGAGCGCTGGAGGGGAAGCTCGACATGGTAGGGATCGGGCCCTTGGTCCCATCGAGCTTCTTGGAAAGCAACATCAGTAGTACTACTTCCAACGTTGGAAGTGAGTATATGACGTGGCTCGACTCGCAAGCCACGTCATCGGTAGTTTACGTGTCGTTTGGGACCATGGCCGTGTTGTCGAGGAGGCAGAGGGAGGAGGTGGGGAAGGCGTTGTTGTGCAGTGGGAGATCCTTTCTGTGGACTTTAAGGAAGGAGCCAGAGAATGAGGAAGAGTCGAGATGGAGGGAGGAGATGGAGAAGGAGGCTGAGGAGTGTGGAGGGATGATAGTCGAGTGGTGCTCGCAAGTGGATGTGTTGTCACACCCAGCGGTGGGGTGTTTTCTGTCTCACTGTGGATGGAACTCGGCGCTGGAGAGCATGTGTTTGGGTGTGCCGACGGTGGGGTTTCCTCAGTTTTCGGACCAACAGACGAACGCGAAGCTGGTGGAGGATGTTTGGAGGACGGGGGTGAGGGTGGTGGTGCCGGAGAACGACGGTGGAGGGGATGATGGTGGCGGTGGCGGCGGTACTGCGGTTGGTGCGGTGGTGGAAGGAGAGGAGATAAGGAGGTGTTTGGATTTGGTGATGGGTGAGGGAGAAGTGGGAGAGGAAGTGAGGAGGAATCCGAAGAAATGGAAGGAGCTTGCGAGGAGTGCGGCTGGGGAAGGAGGGACTTCCCACGTCAACCTCAAGGGTTTCGTGGATGAGATTGCTAGCTATAGCTAGGTGACAAGAGGAGAAGATATTTTAATTTGTCGTTACCATGAAACCGTCTTTCTAATCGAGTCGCTAGCTGTTCTGGCAAAACCAAATCAAGATTAGGTCTGTCATTTGGATATACATAATTCTCATTTGGAGTTCTCACTCAGAGACGTCTATGATGTAACTAACTAATGAAGATTAGGTCTGCCATTGAGCTGTTGCATGTTGTACAAATGATTGCTGCATGCTTCGATGCAAAGGTGATCACTTGCTCGATGGGTTGTTGGGAATTCGGATGGGGAGAAATTGAGGACAATGTAGTGTTTGTATTCTTCTTTATGAAATACCACATGTAATTTAATCCTTCATCCAAATAAGATATATATTTGAGACCAATTCCCACTTGCTCACCTTTTAAATGTAAAATAAATCATAAATGTATTTGGGCTGGACAACCCACAAGTTTTGATATGACACAGTCAGAGCATGACACGAGTACGTGCACGAAATATATGGGCCAGACCGGCACGAAAACGAATAATTTATGGATCTTGCTGCGTCTAAACTTCATGGACAAGGACACAGAGTACGAGCACGACAAGGTCTATAAGTGAGTCGGGCCAAATATTTTTGAGACAATATCGAGTATAAGCATGGCATTAAATGAAAAATATGTATTTTATAAAAAATAAATATAATGAAAATTATAAGTTCATATAATACCAAAATACAACTACAAGAATAATTATTCATTTTTGCTAAAAGTGATCATAAAGATAATATATGTAATTACTATCATAAATAAAATGGTTGTTTAAAAAAATACGTGGAGGTCAAATCACACTCACTATACTTCCAATTTTCTTCTTCCCCTTATTTGTTACTTTTCTCATACATTCTCAACTAATACTTCTCATTTTCTCCTTCTTTTCATTCACTCTTTTATTTTCTTGCCTATACATTAAACACTAATATGAGCACGACACGAGCACGAGTAGTCACAACACCATTCAAACCATGTGTGAGTTGGTCCTAACAAATTTGAAAAATGAACTGGCACAACACATCACGAAAAATGACGACGGTCGTGCCAAGCACAATACGAAATGCAAGGGCCCAAAGCATGTTCATGTCATGCCGACCCAAATACGACCGAGCGTCCAGATACACATAATAAATACTACTTTTAGAAATAATGAGTTAATTAGCCTCAAATATCACATTTAAGTAGTAATGTATCGAAACTACGCATAAGTGATCTTTTGAGCAATTTTGTATGTGATTCACATAATCACATGTATACTCTCCACTACTACAATAAGACATAAATCGGTTGTCACTCAATAGCTCAACACACAAATAAAGGCTAGCATACACGTAGCATATAATATACGTATGTGTTCACACTTATAAGATGCACTTCAATATATTTTGATGGATCAAAATCGTAGATTATTATTTTTAGATTATATGAAACTTGTGGTATGTGTTTAGAACTAAGGGTCGAGGTTCACTCATTAGAGGTTACGGTATATAGTATCATATACTAAATTCATATGAATTCATGGTCCAAATAGCAAAATACGGTGTGCCTACGGTAAGATTAGAGTACAACACGCCTACACTAGCTTGAACAATATATTCTCAGAGGATATAATACTCCTATTTGTCATAGTGAAATAATGCTATCGAGACCATAAATTAATAATACTAAGAGTTTGAGGTATAAAACTATATCCTAACGTATAAGAGTAGTGGATTTCCCGGATTTCGGAATGCTCGGCTTCCGATTCGTTCTGGACGGCTACCGAATTTCCTCTTTTCATGGTAAGTCTCCAATTCACTAGGGGTCGTTTGGATGAGGAATTGTAACGGATCAATTTGACACAATTGTCTCGTTTTGAGTGACAACCGAATTGCCTCGTTTGCCAGCAAAAAAATTGGATGGATCAATATGCCTGAGGTATTTTGAATTGATACGTTTTGAGTCAATTTCAATTACCTGGGGTGGGGGCAGGTAATTCGAATTGACTCGTTTTAATTGCCTCGTTTATAAAACGAGACAATTGATCAAATTGACTCATTTATAAATTGATCCATCCAAACGACCCCGGAAATTCGATCCTTTTAGGGCCATCGATGGAGGAGCGGTGATGCCAACGTCCTTCTCCCCCGTGACGGTCAGCAAAGGTGGAGACTGGAGAGTTACTAATCTACACAATAAATAAAAGCCAAATGAGAAAACTTGAAGCCCCATTTCAAATTTCTTGCATCCAGAGTTAAAATAGGAAGGACATTTTGGTCTTCACAATTACTTTTTTTTATTCATTAAAAAGACACTTACTAGGATTCGAACCATGACAACTTTAAAGAAAAGCAAAGATCATAACCAATCACATTAAGATTAAGTACATTTGTTGTATCTTTTTAAATTAAAAACATATAATCGCAGAGAGGAAAAAATTCTTCCCCCATTTCAAATTCCTTGCTCCAGGAGCGTTTGTAGGAAGGGCAGAATAAGGAGTGTCAGTTTTTTTTTTCCTTTCCTCTGTGGAACGGGTCAACTTACCGTACACATGCGGATTTAAACGGGTCCAGGAGTGTCAATTTCTTTCTTTAAGTTCTTTTATTTCTCTGTGGTGGTAAAATATATATATATATATATATGAAAAGGCAAAAAACAATACTCCTTTTTATTGCTAAAAAGAAGGGGAAAAATTAACAATAAACTAATGCATGGATTTTGTTGGGTATGTGACTCGGATCCCGCCGCGCCAGAGAAACACTGAGAGCGTCCAAGTAAAGGAGCGCGTTAGCATTGACGCGACCAGAAAGACACACCGGCAAGCGCCTTCACCAAGAGCGCCACACACATCAGCACTGACGCGATCAAAGAGGCCGAACACTGAACGACGACGTCCGAGCGCAGCGCTGACCAAGCTAGCAAGTGTGGAGAACGACGCCGCGTCTCATCCATCGAGTGGTCACATCGCAGTCCTAGTCCTAGTCCTAGGTATAATAAAAGGCTATATGTACTTGTCCTAGGTAGGGGCATGGTCTAGTCTTCTGACATGTCAGTGGTCATGTCACCATGTCCCTCACCCACCACCATGTAGCCTATAAATAGAGCATTTACTCCGGTGGGTGAGGGAATCGGATTTTTCTGACTCTATCTCTAAGATTATCAACTTCTCTCTCTAAGATATTACCCTCTCAATTCTATCCGTAATTTCCCCAGTTCCTCCATCGACGGTTATTCTCCCCTTGCTTACTCTCCTTGACCCATCTTCCCGAGTCTCACTCTTACACACCAGTTAGGCTCAAACAGATTCTAATGGGCTAACCGCTAATCATAAAATAAAAGAGTTGAATGGGTCTGACCTACACGAGATTTGCCCATCAAGTAAAACAAATGAACATTATGGGTTTGCCATTCTAAAACAAGTTATTTTCTCTAGCACAATATATATTATGCTATTATTTTATATCTTAGTGGCTAAAATATAATGTGTTTTAAAGTTATTCAATGATTCAACCTCGACCAACCCAATTAGTCCAATTTTTATCATTTCAAATATATATTATGTAATTATTTGATATTATAATGATTAAATTATAGTGTATATTATAGGAAATCGTTTGGTATTTGTTAGTAAAAAACTAAACAGAAAGATCTATTTGGTTATTTTTAACATTGAAACGATCCTAAACATTTTCAGTTTCCTTTCGAAATTCTATAGTTTTATTCCCGAATCAGTGATGTGCAAATGGCGAATTGCAGTCATCTCTTTTCTTTCATTATTTGTTATTTTCAAATAGAAAGTTTAAAAGTAAAGAATAATTAGAGTTTGGCATGGGTCGGTCAAACAGGATGAATTTCAAGTTTTGTCCCGTTTTGATCAAGTCTAATATATAATCACATGGTTCCCTGATACCCGATAAAAATCTCAATCCAAACCAGTTTGGCAGGTGAGTCCGTATTTACCACCATTTTGCAGGGATACAGGAACGGTGGTTCCTATCCCAAATCGTGTTGTTCATTCTTGATTTCTTTTGATTTTATCATGGCTTGGCAAAAAACCAGAAAGCACAATGATGACAAGATGAAAGTTTTATAAAGCAAATTAATCGGCCAACGGGCCGAGTAAAAGCTAGCAACGATTGTGAGATGCTCATTTCCAGAAAAACCGTCGGGATAGGCGATTTTTTATTCGATTTTCTGGAATTCGGTTTCTATAGAACTTACTCCACCTCATCATATTACCAGAAACAATATTGTTTCACAAGGTAACAAGTATTTGGTTTATAAGGCTGTTTTTTGATTCGTTGCTTCATTCATGTCTCTTTCCTACTAAAATCCACTATTTTTATCACGTGTTTCCAAAAAAAAAAATACAACAATAAGTTATACACCCATTACATTATCAAATTTCATACCTCACCTTCCTCCGGCCAAATGGCCGGGGCCCACACTAGTTAATGATAAAGTCCAAGTATTAAATATAAAAAGAAGAAGGAAATTTTATTTTATCAGAGAACATATCATATAGATATACATTGTATAGTGATTTTTTGAAATCAAATCTAACATATTGTTTAATATAAATGAATTTCCTAAGTGTTTAAGTATTCATTTTGAAATGGAATGTTTTTTTTAAATACAAATGAATTCATTTTCAAAGGTAAAATTTGAATAAGCTAAGTAATGGTAACATTATTACTTTTGAACTCCATGTTATATTAGTTGGTGCCAGTGGCGTAGCCAGGATTTTGGGTAAGGGGGTGCCAATTTAAAAAAATTAAAGTGACTATCAATTTTTAAGAGTGACCCATGACGAATTCTCATAGTTTGAAAACTCTGTAAAATACATTCATCATCCAGACTATCAAGAATGTCACTCTCAATGTATCCTACCAAAAAATCATTCATGGTATCGTCACTCATTCCACTCCGAAGAATGTTTTTCACGTAGTTCATTGCCAAAACGGAAAGAAGAACGAAGGAAGATGAAAGGTGGGAATGGGAGAAGTCTTGCTTGTTAGGGCTAACGTTCCGATTACTGCTTGAATAATGATACAATTATGAGTTTTTTTAATTTACTAATTATTTGTAAACGTAAATTAATATATATATATATACAATAAAACGTATTGGTGTATCACATAGTAATTGTAGTTTAATGTAAGATGCCAAAGCTAATAATAAGGGGGTTCCATGTTCAAATCCCAGTTATAGCATAAACTAATACCCTTATTTCTTGATGTTCTAATCCCGATCAAGGGTGTGCCATGGAACACCCTATTTACATGCTACCTCCGCCCCTGGTTGGTGCATGCTATCAATGATTGATTTTGAATACACATATTTTCTTCGTAAAAATACGAGAAAATATATATTGAGAACTTGTGAAAGCCACTTTTTATCATTTTCGAAAATAAGAGAGAGGTACAACTTTCTGTTTGCAGAAACGAACACAAAACAAAATAAAAAAATAAACAGGTTTTCTCGTTACCGTTGCCAGAATAGAAATAGGAACCATAAAACGAAAATGAAAGTGAACATGTTGTAAGGTACTACCCCACCCGAGGGACATAGTTGATAGGAGACAAAACCCTTGAAGGAGGCACCAAATTTCTCATTCGATGTAGGGTGGGCTCCTTGTTATCCAAGCAAACCCTTTGGGTAGGTAGGATGAATTCCTTTATTCATGAATTGCTCGGTCTTCAAGGTGGAGTAGATCTCCTCAGTCCTATTTGGCAATTGCCATCATTGACGACAGAAAATGCAAAAAAAAAAAACTTTCCGATGAGGCAAGGAGTCCCTCCATAACTTCATAAAACCCTTGGCAATTCCATGACTCATGATCTGAAGAATTCGGGGCAAACGTCAAAACTCAAAAGTCATTTTGAAAGACCTCAAACAAAGGTTCCAAGAGCAAAATAAGATCATTGTTGCCAACAAGCAATTGAATTTTAGCTTGACAGCAACATTACACGACTAGAATTTATAGCCATGACTGTGATCTAGAACATTTTTCGTTCTTTGTACATGCCAAATCCATGACTAAGCCTTCTAGAGCAACACTAGAAGAGTGGAAAAATAACCTAAGTCGACAACGCTCCAATAGTGTCATGAACTAGGCTGTCCAAGGGGTGAGCTCAAGTGACACTGAGCAGCCTGATTGATGGTGACGACGGCGTTCTCTCGAACACCAATCTGAGTTCAAGGAGCCTGGAAATTTACTCATGGTGGCATACCGCAGTTTGCACATTTCGATAACCACAAAAGTCACAACAAAAACCAAAACAAGGAAAGAAAAGCAAAGCAAAGGAGGGAGACTTTGGAGAGCGCCAAACAGATGAAGAGAATGAGAATAGGTTTTGATTCAAAGTGCCTAAGATTCTAAGTTCTCATAACTTGTAGGAGCTGTACCTAATTGTTATTCCTAAAGTGAGACACAACTCTAACCAAGGAAGCACAACAAACAAAACAGATACTCACATATGTGATCAATACACTAACCCTTAATTAATAAATTAACCTGGGAATATATGGTGACAACTTACAGTGGACCTTAATTACAAACCAGCCACAGTTCAAATTGGCACAGAAACTCAAAAAAGGCAAAAGAGAAAACGAGCAAAAGAAAATATGAGCAGAGCCCATGTAATCTTTTTGTTGTTTTATTCACATATCATCACCCTCCTTTCTTTACCTTTGCTTTTCAAAGGGTCAATGGCGTCTCCAGCATCTTCTGATGTCGTTATTGGATTGTAGATTGAGCACTGCCGTCTCCCTGCCCCCTTTTGATCAACTGCCTCTAAAGTTTAATCCTTTATCATCAGAGTGACAAAGAAAGAAACCAAGAACAAAAGGTTAAAGCTAAATACGCCATATACAATAATCAAACTATTATATATGCAATTCTCTGCAGGTCGCTTTCATTTCCCACCCTTCATGACTCCAGCTTTCTCACCACTATCAACAGGAATACGAACCAGGTTCTTTGATAACAACGACGGCAATTCATGAATATAGAATATGAGTCACCTACTCTATATATCTCTATACAGTCTTCAATTTAAGCACCTCCTCATAGCTATAGTTCGTTTCCCCCATGAAAAAATCAGATTAAGCATGAAAGTTGAAAGAGTTTCAGTCATACCAGCAGATATCATCATGTGTTGTAGGCTTCTGCTTCTCATCCTCCTACTGTCGGGTATTACTTCCTGCTCCGGAGATAGCGAACTCACCGTGCTGCTCCGGTTGAAATCCTCCATGATTGGGACAGCGGGAGGAGGAAGCAGTGGATTAAGTGATTGGAATGATTCTTCTTCATCTCACTGCTCCTTCTCTGGTGTCACCTGCGACGAAGACGGTGTCCAAGTGGTATCTCTCGATGTTTCACATAAAAATCTGTCTGGGTCACTACCTCCTGAGATAGGCCTCCTCAACAGTCTCATCAACCTGACAGTTGCTGGCAATGGTCTGATGGGAACGGTCCCTCTGGACATGGCCAACCTCACATCTCTCAAGCTTCTCAACCTCTCTAACAACGGCTTCTCTGGCGAATTCCCTGGAGAGATCGTTAGAAGTATGACCCAGCTGGAAGTTCTGGACGTATACAACAATAACTTAACAGGTCAGCTCCCAGATGGGATAGCTACAACCTTGGTCAATCTCAAGCATCTTCATCTTGGAGGTAACTACTTCTCAGGGGAGATACCGGAATCCTACTCTGAGTTCCCAAAGTTGGAGTACTTGGCCTTAAGTGGTAACAGTCTCTCTGGCCAAGTTCCAGCAAGTTTGGCCCGTTTGGAGAAGCTTAGGGAGCTGTATCTGGGTTACTTCAACACTTTCTCAGGAGGAATTCCGCCGGAGTTTGGACTTTTGACTGAGCTTCAGGTTCTTGACATGGCCACCTGTAACCTCACCGGCGAGCTTCCGGCGAGTTTAGGGCGATTGAGTAACCTGTGTGCTTGCTTTCTCCAGATGAACCATCTCACTGGTAATATTCCCACCGAGTTCTCCATGCTGAGTAACTTGAACATGCTTGATCTGAGTCTAAACAATCTCACCGGCGGGATACCTGAGAGCTTTTCCAAGCTGAAGAACATGACACTGCTGAATCTATTTGTCAACAGCTTGGGTGGTCGTATACCGAAATCCATCGGCGACATGCCGAATCTCCGGCTTTTACAGATATGGCAGAACAACTTCACCTCTGAGCTTCCTGAAAATCTTGGCCGGAATGGGAAGCTGGAAGTGGTGGATGTCTCTTTCAATCGGCTCACTGGAACTGTGCCTGAGAATTTGTGCCAAGGGATGAAGCTGAAGAGCTTGGTTCTGATGAACAATCTATTCTCCGGACCGATTCCTGAGCAACTCGGCGGATGTGAGTCTTTGAGGAGAATCAGAATCCAGAGCAATTTCCTGAATGGGACAATTCCTACCGGAATTTTCAACCTGCCGGAACTAACGCTTGTGGATATGAACAACAATGAACTCTCCGGCGAGCTTCCCAAAGAGATGTCCGGGAAGAAACTCGGGCAGCTAGTACTTACCGGCAACAGTATTACTGGAAGAATCCCTGCTGCCATTGGAAACCTGCAAAATTTACAAATTTTGTCACTCGACAGGAACAGATTCAACAATCAGCTCTCTAAGGAGATTTTCAACCTCAGGTCTCTGTCCAAAATCAACATCAGTGGCAACAACATCGAGGGCGGAATTCCACCGGAGATATCAAACTGTACCTCTCTGATATCACTCGATTTCAGCCGGAACAATCTTAGTGGAGAGATTCCAAGAGGGATTGATCAACTGAAGGATTTGAACCATCTTGATCTCTCTGAAAACCAACTCACTGGTGGAGTGCCCAGTGAGATGCAGTACATGTCAAGCCTGACAAGCCTTAACCTCTCTGGTAATAAGCTTTCAGGGAGAGTGCCAAACTCCGGCCAGTTACTGATGTTTGATGAAAGCTCATATGCTGGAAATCCTGACCTCTGCTTCTCATACAGTGGTACTTGCAGTTCCCAGAAGGCGAATGCGATTGAGAATACTGGTCATAAGACCACTACATGTTTCAGTACTCTTAAATTTGTAATAATTGTAATTTCCCTTTGTTACCAGTTGGTGCAATGCTGGTAGTGATCATAGATTATTGTCAATTTAACTTTCTGGGAAGCTCATAGATACCCATGGAATTCATAACGACTACATACTGTACGCTCAATGGTTATAGTCGGAAATGAAATGATAACTAGGCTTTATTCTAATGATAGAAATAAAGTTTGTACAGAGAGGAGTTCATATGTAGAGCATGATTTAAAACACACAACAGTACCTTTTTTTTACTAAACTACAATCTACCTCCTTGTTTTGATTTCGGTTTGGAGGTAGGTGTTCTTAGTACACAAGCTGGTGGTTTGTTCACACTGATACAAGTAAAAGAGGACCTGAAAACTGAGATCTTGAGTTGGTATATCGCTGCTGCTCTTTATGTTGTATATTAACTGCACTTCTGCTGCAGAAAGTTCTCCAAAGTTGAATCTTTCTCCTGGCTGTTCTTGTATTCAGCTCTCCTCCCATGACCTGCAATCAATTGGAACAACCCACCGATTCTTACGAACAAATTACAGCTAGGATTCACAAACACAGGGGAAAAAGCGGAAATAGAAAAGTTAGCACACACCTGGTAATATCCACTGGAAGTTCAATTTCAATAATTTTTTGACACTGTCTAGCTGCATAGGAACTGCCAAAACAAAGACAATTAGACATTTACTTCTCACTACATAACTATACCATTTTCTTAGGTACAGCAAGTTTTCTTTTTCTAAATTCAATCAAGAGTTGCCAGAACCTGAAATGCGGTTGTATGTCTCAAAAATGCTCAACCCAAATTCGGTCATGCCAAGATGATCCCCAGCAAATAAGATCTTATGCGGCTTGTAGAATAAGCAGACAGATCCCTGTTTGTTATGCACAGGAGTGACGTTCATCAGCTTTAAGGTGAGATAGTAGTAAACTATTCCTCGCATATCCACGGGATAAGGAGCAGAGATAAGAGGAAGTGAAACTACCAAGTCCTATAGCCACCAAAAATACTGAAAAGAAATATCAAGAAAAAAAAAAGAAGCAAGGGACATGATATATCATATATTCATATGTTAGTGTAGGTGCTACGTGATATGCAAATTTAGTAACATCCACATATTTGGAGCAAGAGGGTTACTAATACCACAAAAAAGGAAAAGAAATGAAGTTCAGAAAATTGAACATAAAAATAGGAAGAATGGGAATAACTGACAAAGGAAATTCTTGTTCTGTAAGAATGGAATCTGAAACAGATGAATCCCATGATCACTATATTTTGGCGTGTATATCTTTAAAATAGATCCTAGAAGAAAATATTGGTCACTTCCTCCAAATCACAACTGGAAGGAAACAAGGAAGTAGCCGATTTCCTTTCAGTGGACAGAAAACGCAATTAGAAAAGCAAACAATGGATCCAGCAACTCACTTCTGTATGTCCTGGGACGTGTATAAGCTCGACATCCTCTCCAAGGCTCCATGGCCCATTTCCCTCCAACTTGATTTCCACGTCAGCAGTATCAACTCTTACCTGCCAAAGACAAAATGGTACAGAATAATTAATTGACTTCACAGTTGTACCAAAGAAGGAATTAATAAATGAATCCCAATTTTCTGCATCTGAATTCATAATACTTGTGTATTCTACTGTTTGCTGATGATGAGCCACAAGAAGATTAAGTATGTTTATTCTTGATCTTCAAATTACTAAACAAGAACTAATAACTCGAGACAGCAACCACAGGTGACGTGCAAAGACATTAACAAAATATGACAACAAACAGAATGAAAATGAACGGGTACATCTCCTGAGTGCAGAATTCTTTGACAGTTTAATCTCTTTGACCACTTCTCATGATCTGCAACATCATCCCTGATGTTGGGATGAAAAGGAGTTAAACATTACACTCCATAGTTCTAAAATACAAATAGCTAAATTAAATAAATAAATGAACCGAAATTCATCATCGTACATATGAGTGAGAAACATGTAACTTGCACCCCCCAGAGCTTCTATGTTACGGGCCAGCTTCTCAGTGAATCTAGGACTGCATACAAATGATTAGAAGGTGAACATGGGAGAATAGATAAATGAGAACAATTCTTTAGCTGAAATAACAATTTCACTATAAGAGAAGATCAAAATTCTTAAGATTCAAACATCAAAACTGAAGAAGGATGAGGACCTACAATGGAGTAAATATAAAAACGTTCACCTGTCCACAATTATATTTCCATCAGGGCGAATGATCAGGTAGGAAGCTGCTCCATATGATTTCTCAGAATGATAACCACAGTGATAGATTCCCTGAAAAGGTACGTACAACCAGGAAATGATAATATAATAGTATAAGTGTTCTTCACAGGGAATTTCAAATTGGAACCCCCAAACCAAAAAAAAAAACATTATCTCAACTGCATTTTGCTAAGCGAGTTCTGATAGTTCATAATGGATAAAGACAAGCATGGTCTGAAGCATTTGCCTCATTTACTACTGTAGGGAAATAACGCCAATGCCTGGAATACAAAGTAAGAAATAACTAGGATGCTAGTCTCCAGCTTGATACTAGATAGGTTTTATTTGGCATGCTACCGAGCTGCAGAGATAGTGAATTGCCCAAATTTGTTGCTAATATTAATTGAATCACTAACCTATCAAGAGAACTAAAATAAGGCTTGATAAACAAAGAAAATAGTCCGAGCTCATAAAAGAAGGCAAAGAAAAATAAGAACATACTGGGATTTTCTTGTCATCTATCGGAAGTGGGAATGTTTTCTGAGCTTCCAGAACATCACGAGTGGGTTTCTCTGTGTGGATTGAACTCGTTGGACAAGCGAGTAAGGCCTACATAACCCATTGTGAGTACTAAAAGAGACATAAGTAATCTTGAATAAACATCAATCGAGCGGAAGAGGATGAAACACCCAGATACGACTGTTAGGGAGAACTCATCTAAAAAATGGAAAGTATGTAAGCCGGCAGATTGTTGAGAAACTAATTAAATTTCCTTCCATTGACAACAGAATGTTTGGCCCCTTTCCACACACAATATTGGCTATGCTGAATGAAATGCCTAACAATTTTAAAACTGCAGCAGGTAAGATTTTCTTCCCATTTAGTTACGTGATGGACTATCAGTTACATCCCAATTTAACCTAGCATCCAATTCAATGATCTCCCCTTCGTTCTCTACCCTAATAGCAACCGCAAAACCTCAATCCTTCTCTTGGTCTATAATGAGTTAACGAGCCAAGACTGTCACCATTAGAGCAATCAAAAGATTCCAAAAGAAAAAAATACAACCACGGAATAGAAATTGATAAAGCTACCTGAAGAGCATTCAACCTCTCCTCACTAGAAGTCGGTTGTTTAGAAACAGCAGACATTCCATCAACTCGTGTGAAAATTTGCTGTAAAGATCAATAAGAAGCTCTCGTAAGAAGCTCAGTTCGACAACTTTGTATATTGCAATTGCTGATGTACAATTAGCTCCAGAAACAAGAACAGGAAAGCAAATGCAAATCAGCTCAAATCGCTTACTGGAGCCATCCATCGGCATGTATCGCAGTCAATGCATCTAGTGTCTGCAACAAAGAATTGAAAGCAAGCAGGAGGAAAAGTTACAAGACGAGCTGGAAAAAAAATCAACAGATATCAAGCAGCCTCATGACAAACAACAACGCAGAGAAAGGAAAGCAACTGCTCCTTTCAACAGCTTACCGACGAAGAACTCTCCGTCGACGTTGTGCGGGCGTCTCAGCGAGGGAGCCCTAGTCGGAGTAGCAACAGCAGAAGCTGCTCCTGCCGATGCTGCTTCATCCCCTCCGCTCTGGATTGCTCTGATCGGGCGAGTTAATCGCGGCTTTGAGAAGCGAGACGGTGTCGGAGGAAGTAGGTCCGGCTGATAACGGAGACCTGTGAGATTGATTGCTTGTCCCGTAAGTCTGAGCGCCATGGCTGGCAAGATGTCCGCTGCTCTGTAGACTGTAGTTGCGTGGGTTTCATTTCCACTGGTTGGGTTGCATCACTGCCTTATATGAGAAGTGAGGACCCGTGTGGTACCTTCTTGCCTCGTCAAGGTCAATCCGGTTCTTGATTGGGTTTGAAAATTCAAACTTTAATGATGATGTGATGTGGGGAAAGGGTATGATTGTTTGGTGGACAAATTTGCGAGGGTGCAAGTTGAGCGGCAAATTGTAAGCGTATAAATTGATGGTTGGTGTAGGTGGAAAGGTAAATTGTTGTTTGAATGAAAAAATAGAGAGAGTAGATACAATAAAAATAAGAAAACTATATTATTACTCTAAAAATAGTATATTAAATTTATAAAAGAGTATCACAAAATAATAAAATAAAAACTATTATATATAATAATCATAAATATTAACAAAAATAATTATTTAGACAGTAATGCTTAAATAGTAATTTATTGTAATAATCATTCATAGAGCAAATTTGAAGCTCAACCTATGGCCAAAGACATATAACTAGCTTATGTCTCCCACTCGAGCGTTGGTTTGTCGATATGGTGATCTCGATATGACTAGACGAACATTAACAAACTTGCTTCGGAAGTCAAACGGTGAACCCGAACTAGGTAGGGGTGTGCAACAGTTTCGGTTTGGTTTGTTTTGGTTCAGACTGGTCCAAACTCATGAGAATTGTGATCCAATAGCGATAGTCATCTTAGGACCAAGAATAGGATCATCATTGCATTCAGACATATTTGGCCCAGTCCAAATGTCAAATTGAAACATCATATAATACAGACCAGACCAAACCATACTTAACGGTCTACGGTCCGGGCCAAACTGTGTGGTCCGGTCTGGACCATGATTTTTCAAACGATTTGGTTTATTTTTCCAACCCTAATATGTACCGAAATACCGAGAAATACTGAAATTTAAAAACTAATGAAATATAGCACACAACCTTTAGTCATTCCTCACTCTTTCACAACTTTGAAGCCCCCATCCAATTCAATTTTGACTTTCCAGTTTAAGTAACTCTCGTTTCTCACTTAATCTCTTGTTATTTTCACTACATAAAAAATAAACACTAGTATTAGTAGTCTCTCAGCCTCCAATTCGTCAAATTAAAGATTATCAATGACAAAATTTTGAGATGTCACCTCTCCTCCATTCTCCTTATTCATATCCTAGCTCTAGACAAACTCAATACTCTTTGCTTAGTCTCTTTGTCGGGAGCAGTTACGGTGCTAATTGTACAATAGTTAGCACCGTCCTAACCAAGGGAAAAACTACTACTAGTTTGAATTAGTAGTGATTTAGCTTAGATGTTGTATTGATTTTATAATAATCCGTCTACTAGTTTGAATTAGTAGTGATTTAGCTTAGATGTTGTATTGATTTTATAATAATCCGTAGTGATTTCGTTATTTTTAGTAGCGTTTTTTGCTAGTTATCACGGTGCTAACCCCTATAAGGATTAGCACCTAATCTCATCCCCTCTTTGTCCTAAATTAAATAATCAAATCTAATTTATATATGTAATTATTAATTGTAAAGATAATTAATTTCATATTCGATAATACCGATTGGGATATCGAAGTATCGATTGGGATACCGAAATATTTAGGCAATGGGAATGGGATACCGAAATTATTTAGGGATTGAGATTGGAATTGACTTTAGGATCTATATTCGAGATTTTAGAATTTTATATTGGCATACCAATACCGTACCGATTTCCATTTGGGTTTGTTTGGGTTTTCTTTGTTGGCGTTTGTCTCTTCAAATCGTTTCTTCTAGTCGGTTTTGCTCTTTTCTCCTTTCTTTTGTGTATGGCTCTTTTCTTCTGGTCGGCTCAACCCTTAGATGAATCTCTTCACTGTTGTTTCATGGTTCTCTCCGCTCCAGTCCCATTTGCCGTTTTTTCAGCTCTGAGCAATCCAATCCCAGTCCTGTCCACCGCCGCGCAATCCCTCGTTGGCGATTCACTGTGATGGGTGTCTTTGAACTACCCTCAGAAGGCGGCATATGGTGTTGCTTCGCTCAATAACCATGGTCAAAGCTGGGTTTGGACGAGCTGAAGCTCTTCTGTGTCTCACTCCATTTGATGCGATTACAATGGATGCTGGATCCTCTGTTTTCGGCTCATGAAAAGGGTTCCCCCGTCTTTCTGTTCATGTTGATATAGTTTTGCCCTTCTGTATGCTTCTGGACCTTTTCTCTACATTTTTGATGTTCTGGTTGTTTGGGCTTTCTTTCTTGTAGTTGATTTTCAGGGTGTATCCCTTTCGTTGCAATAGCGTTATTCTGCTAATGGGTTAAGTGGTTAGTAGATACTAACAGGGTGGGATGATGGGCCACGTCGCCGAGCCACCATCGGACGGTGAGGGATCGCCGGCGCTGTTCTGTGAGGGAGGGGAATTTTGTGGCCAAGCCGAGCCACTTTTGGGTAAGTGGGGCCAGAAAAAAAAAACAAAAACAAAAACCGAAAATTTCAAACCCAAAACCCAACCTCAACCCGCGTCAGTCATTCTCCCCTCTCTCTCCAACTTTCGAACCCTCTCTCTCTCTTTTTCTTTTCTCCCGAAAACCACCACCCACCAACAGCGACGAGGCCATTCACGGCGACCAGTGCGACGGCGACGAGGTCTGCGTCTGCGACGGCGACTAGGGCTGCGACGGCGACGACGGCTTGTTGGATCTCCCGCCGACGACGACGTTGAACTGACCCAGCGGCGAGGAAGAACACGCCGCCGACGAAGAAGAAAGAAGAAGACGCCGCTTTCGCCGACGAAGAAGGCCGCCGCCGTCGCCGCCGATAGTGAGAGGTAGAAGAAGACGTTGAGGTAGAAGACTTGTCCTCTCTTTATTGTTCATTTTGTTTGTGGATAGTAAGTTAGGGTTCATGGATTTTTTTGGTGGAAATCTGGGTTTTGTTTATGGATTTGAAACTTTATGGTTCATGCAATTCGATTTAGGGTGTTTAGGGTTTTGATTCTAGATTACCATATTTTCTGTCCGTGGGATTCGAATTTGGGGGTTTAGGGATTCGAATTTGGGGGTTTAGGGTTTGGAATCTCGATTTATAGATTTAGGGGTTCATGGATTCGAATATGGGTGTTTAGGGTTTAGTTTGTAGATTACCAGATTCTGGGTCTGTGGGATTCGAATTTTGGGGCTCTGGTTTTTTTTTTCTAGTTAGCAGATTTATGGTATGTCGAATTCCATTTTGGGGGTTTGTTGGATACGATTTTGGGGAATGTAGGTATTGTTTGTTGATTCCTTGATTAAAGGTTACATGGATATCAGTTTTGTCACTTCCGATACTTATTCTGGTCATTTTATATATTGTTTGATTATGGTTTCTCGAATTCCATTTTGGGGGTTTGTTGGATACGATTTTGTTGAATCTGGGTATCGTTTGTCGATTCCTTGATTAAAGGTTACATGGATGTCAGTTTTGTCACTTTTGATACTTATTGTGGTCATTTTTTATACTGTTTCAGGTTATGGGGAGACCGAAAAAGAACTCCAACAGTGGCCTAAACTTATCGTGGATACCATCAAAGCAGCCATCAGATGAACAACAACCACAGGTTTCATTTCTTACTTCGTTTCTCGATTGGTTATGTTAACTAAAAATTACTAGTCGGATGCATTTTAATATTATCCTTGGCTGGATAGTTTTCTTAATATCTAACTATGTTTCAGGAACAACCCGTGAGGAAGAAATCCAAAACTGTTGCACCAAAATCTGCAGCAAAATCTCGTGAAGCAGCTGAATCATCACGACAGCCGGCGGTTGAACAACCACCAAAGGTTTGATTTCTCAATTCGTTTCTCGATTAGTTATATTGGCTAAAAAAAATAATCTGATGTGTCTGATGTGTGGATATCAGTTATGTTAAGGTGGATACTTATCTGTTCGTTTTAGTTATTTTTCTGGGTATTATGGATTTTTTTTCATGGATATCAGTTCTGTTAAGGTGGATACTTATCTGGTCGTTTTAGTTATTTTTCTGGGTATTATTGATTGTTTTCATGGATATCAGTTCTGTTAAGGTGGATACTTATCTATTCGTTTTAGTTATTTTTCTGGGTATTATGGATTTGTTTTCATGGATATCAGTTCTGTTAAGGTGGATACTTATCTGGTCGTTTTAGTTATTTTTCTGGGTATTATTGATTGTTTTCATGGATATCAGTTCTGTTAAGGTGGATACTTATCTATTCGTTTTAGTTATTTTTCTGGGTATTATGGATTTGTTTTCATGGATATCAGTTCTGTTAAGGTGGATACTTATCTGGTCGTTTTAGTTATTTTTCTGGGTATTATTGATTGTTTTCATGGATATCAGTTCTGTTAAGGTGGATACTTATCTATTCGTTTTAGTTATTTTTCTGGGTATTATGGATTTTTTTTTCATGGATATCAGTTCTGTTAAGGTGGATACTTATCTGGTCGTTTTAGTTATTTTTCAGGGTATTATTGATTGTTTTTAATGCATATCAGTTCTGTTAAGGTGGATACTTATCTATTCGTTTTAGTTATTTTTCTGGGTATTATGGATTTTTTTTTCATGGATATCAGTTCTGTTAAGGTGGATACTTATCTGGTCGTTTTAGTTATTTTTCTGGGTATTATTGATTGTTTTTCATGGATATCAGTTCTGTTAAGGTGGATACTTATCTATTCGTTTTAGTTATTTTTCTGGGTATTATGGATTTGTTTTCATGGATATCAGTTCTATTAAGGTGGATACTTATCTGTTCGTTTTAGTTAATTTTCTGGGTATTATGGATTGTTTGTCATGGATATCAGTTATCTTCGTTTGGATACAATTTTGGTTTACTACGATAATAATTATATATATTGGCTTAAAAATCTACTCTGATGTGTGGATATCAGTTCTGTTAGTGTCGATATTTAAGTGTGCGTTTTAGTTATTTGTCCAATGATTATGGATATTTTGCTTAATATATAACTGTGTTTCAGGATTCTCCGACGAAGAGAACTAAAATGGTTGCACCGAGATCTCATCAAGGAGAAGGATCAAAGCAGCCGCCGCCTGCTATTCCAGAAGTTGAGGAGGAAGATCAGGAAGAAGATGATGAGGGAGAGGGTCCTTGCGGCTCATATTTCAGATTTCGTGGCTCCACCTATTCCCTCTTCAAAATTATAAGCTACTGGAAACAAGATGCTGGATATTATGAAGCATGCAAGAAAGAAGTCGAGAAGGCAGGATTCGGGGGCCTATTGGAACTTCGCATGCCGACGATTCCCAATGTCTTCATGGATGACTTGATGGCTGCTTATGACCCCAAAACCAGTACTTTTGTTTTTGGGGAAGGTGAATCGAAGAAGGTGTTCGACTTCACAGCTGAGGATGTGGCACGTGTGTACAACCTTCCTCTCGGTGGTGCTGTGATTGATTTGAAGAACGTTGAGGGGGGGATGCTCGACAGTTTCAGCGAGGAAGTTGGCATGATTCCTAACAGGGCTCGCATGGTTCCTATCAAGAAGCTGCGGGAGTTGGCCATTCCAGCCAACGGTCCTAGAACACCTGTTGCAGTTGCTGTCAAGCAGTTCTTGTTGCTAGCTACTGGTTCGGTGCTGGTGCCCACATTTGCTCGGAGGTGCAAGCTGGACTTTGCCCCTTACCTAGGTGGGAGTGTTGAGGACGTGAGGGTGTACGATTGGTGTACCTTTATTGTCCGTGAACTGAAAGTAGAGTTGACTGTTGCGAAGAAAAAAGAATATAAGTCAAGGGTGTTGGGCTCGCCGTGCGTGTGGGTTCTCGGAGATTGCTACTTCTTGATAGTAAGTCCTAACCTTTTCTTCCAATTGTTGGTTCAATTGCATGAAAACTAGTTAATTTCGTATTTGGGTATCATTTAACTGAACTCGGATACTCTTTGTTTTGTTTGAAATTAGCTTGAAATGATTTCTGGCTATCAGTTTAGTCACATAAGATACTATTTGTGTTGAGACTGGATATTTGTTGATTAAATTGCTAGAAATGGCGCTTAACATTTATTAATTGTAATTTTTTTACAGCTCCATATGCTGGACTCTCTAAAACTAGGCGGGTTGCACACGAAGACCATACCTAGCTGCCGGTTTTGGTGGAAGCAAAATGTCGAGAGGGCAAGCTCATCTATCCCCTTAGTCAGGGGAAGATATGACCTAGCTGCCGCTCTGCTGAGTAGGGAAGAAATGGCCTCTCGCAGGCAGTTCCAGCCGGTGGCTATTGGGGGTACTAGTGCATCAGCTGCCAGCAGTTCAGCTCCTCCTCCAGATCGTGCACCGATGCCCACCGCGGAATGGTGGGAGACTGAAGATTTGACTAGCCTTTCGCTAGGGCAGGTAAAATGTTTTCTTCCTCCCTAACTAAGAATACTGCATTGGTAGACTTGGATGATATAGTAACCTAAATATTTAACCACATATGTGTAGCTTAAGGGATTGAAGGAAATGACTGAGAGCATGATTGAAAAGTGGGTGGCTCGAAGGGACAAGGTCCAAACGATTGTCCAGAATTTGGAACAGCAAGAGTGAATTTGATCTACTGTTTTCTGTTGTTTGGTGGGGGGTTGTACTGTTTTCCTGGAATTTGTTGCCATGTTGGAATGGCTTTGGATATTAGTCGGATTTTAGTTTGTTGCTCTGGAATATTTGTTGGTTTAATTTGGAGATGAGCTTGTGGTTTCTTTTCAGTTTAGAATACTGTTTTGTGAGATTTGGATATTAATGTTATTTTTTTGGATATTAATGCCAACTTGAATATTTGTACGCTCTGTTGTGATACTATTCTGGGTACATGTGATAATTGCACAAGCAGTTTGGATACTATACTGGATACATGTGCGTTGATTGTTTTTAATTTGCGCAAAATGTTCGTTGTCTTCCAGCTTAAGGTACTAGGAGGTTCGATTGACCGACATTTGGGAAAATTGGTGGACTTTGCCAAAAAACTGGGACAGATAATAGAAAAGAGTGAGGAGCAGGTCGAGCCACAAGTGGAGAAAACTGGAGCGATGTGTGAAGAAGATCCTGAAGAGAAGAATAGATTTGAGGTGGTGGAGAATCAAGCTGAGAAGACTGTAGAGACACCGGACGAAGAGGTGTTTGAGGCGACAGTCCCTATGGTGATACACTATACAGTCCCGGATACCTCTTTTGAGGACATTTTGCAGATAGCTCATGAGGCTACTAGCGCTGCTAATGCCGAGGAAGAAGACTCACCTACAGATGTGGTGGAGTCGTTCTCTCAACTTGCAGAGATGGGAATGTTGCCTACAGACGAGGAGTTGGTAGAAGCGGCTTGTAAGAGCGCTGAGAGGAGTCCAGATCTGATTATCACGGATGAGAGGAATATGACTGACGAGGAGAGAGACCGTCTGTACAGCTACACACCTGAGGAATGGCTTGCAACACTAAAGACCCCAGAGTTTGAGAGGTCGAAGAAGAACCCATATGCTTCTTCATCAGTATATTATTTGTCGAAGGAAGTGTCGCCAAAGCTCGACCCAGTTGCTCGTCTTATGGTTGAGTTCGTCTTCACTACCCCTTCGGGTAAGGGCTTGGTGGTGCACACTCCTTCAATTAAACTTGCCCGTCTTCATCTGTTGACATTGAAGCGATTAGAGTGGGTCAATGTACAAGTGATTGAGGCTTATGGTCATTTCTTGAACGACAAATCACTTGCCGGTGACAAGAAACGAGTTATCTTTCCGTTCACTTTTGGTGTAAGTATGCTCTTCACTCACACCTTACAATTTTTAGATATTCAGTAACTAATTAGCTATTATTTTACTTTGCAAACAGCAACTTGCCATACTTAATTCTCAGACGAATGTGCCCCCGTCCAAGGAGAGACTCGATGGTGTCATTGAACTGACCCAGCGGCGGTTTCCAGTCTCCAAACAAGTTGCATGGGACAAAGTAGAATATGTAAGTGAAGACTTATTCTATGTCGATACTGATTTACGTGGTTTTGGATACTAGTCTGGGTTTATTGGATATTTATTCGAGAGAATAACTGATATGTTTGAAGATTTGCCTGTGAATATCTGAAATGTTAGTTTTGGATACTAGTCTGGGTTTATTGGATATTTATTCGAGAGAATAACTGATTTGTTTGAAGATTTGCCTGTGAATATCTGAAATGTTAGTTTTGGATACTAGTCTGGGTTTATTGGATATTTATCCGAGAGAATAACTGATTTTTTTCTATGTTTCAAATTTTTTTCCCTGTGCATACAGACAAACACTACCGGGTCTACGCTGCTGATCTAAGGAGTCGGAAGACTTTCCTTCTGGACAGCACGAAACCCAAGCCAGCAGTGGCCAAGGTGGATCACTCTCCCATGGGGAAATTGATATTTGAGTATGGGGCTGCTTTCCTTGCAAAGCACAACATCGATTTTCCCTTGCATGATTGGGAATTCTTAATCGCGGATGTTCCTCAACAAAAGGGAAACGATGACTGTGGAGTGTTTGCATGCATGTTCATGGAGCACTGGGCGGGTCACATTCCATCGGAATACAAGGAAACTTGGCACTTGGAAAGTCACGTGGAGCACCAGCGAGCATCTATTGCAGGCAGTCTCCTTCAATGGAAATACAACAAAGTAAGGAATGTCATACTTGAGGAGGCAAATGAGTGGGCAGCATATAAGGAGAAAGGGAAGAGAAGCTGAAACTATGTGATTGGGTTATTTTGGGAAGTTTTGGAGAAAAGGAGACACTAACTCTATCCTGATTGCTATTCTTATTAGTTTAAGGTGATTGGGTTATTTTGGGAAGTTTTGGAGAAAAGGAGACACTAACTCTATCCTGATTGCTATTCTTATTAGTTTAAGGTGATTGGGTTATTTTGGGAAGTTTTGGAGAAAAGGAGACACTAACTTTTATCAAGGATGGATTAAGAATATCTTTCATTCAACAAAAGTATAGCATATGACCCAAAGTGATATCCAAAATCTGATAATATTTGATGAAAATACATAAAATCCAAAATCTGATAATATTTAGAGATAATATTTGTAGAACTAAAAGACATATCCCTACCATGCATACAGATATCCTTACAACGTAGACAAATATCGTAGCCTGCTTACAAAATATAAACTAAGGAAACCCTAATCTGTAAACACTAAAACAATAAAACTATTATTGTTTGCCCAAGCCGAGAATATTCAAAGGTTCCACACAAATATCCAAACACATGAACTAAGGAAATATTTCCTCAGATTCCAATAAATATCCACACAATTCGGGAAAAAATCAAATTAATTTGAATAAATATCTTGTGGTTCATAAAAAGTATTACAACTAGGAAAGACAAGTATCTACAATACACCAACTAATATCTATTATTTGTAGCATCTTCCTAACCCTAAACTCTAAACCCTGAACTCTATCACCCTAATCTGTAAACACTAAAACAATAAAACTATTATTGTTTGCCCAAGCCGAGAATATTCAAAGGTTCCACACAAATATCCAACACATGAATTAAGGAAATATTTCCTCAGATTCCAATAAATATCCACACAATTCGGGAAAAAATCAAATTAATTTGAATAAATATCTTGTGGTTCATAAAAAGTATTACAACTAGGAAAGACAAGTATCCACAATAGACCAACTAATATCGATTATTTGTAGCCTCTTCCTAACCCTAAACCCTAAACCCTGAACTCTAAACCCTAATCTGTAAACACTAAAACAATAAAACTATTATTGTTTGCCCAAGCCGAGAATATTCAAAGGTTCCACACAAATATCCAAACACATGAACTAAGGAAATATTTCCTCAGATTCCAATAAATATCCACACAATTAATGAAAAAATCAAATTAATTTGAATAAATATCTTGTGGTTCATAAACAGTATTACAACTAGAAAAGACAAGTATCCACAATACACCAACTAATATCTATTATTTGTAGCTCCTTCCTAACCCTAAACCCTGAACTCTATCACCCTAATCTGTAAACACTAAAACAATAAAACTATTATTGTTTGCCCAAGCCGAGAATATTCAAAGGTTCCACACAAATATCCAAACACATGAATTAAGGAAATATTTCCTCAGATTCCAATAAATATCCACACAATTCGGGAAAAAATCAAATTAATTTTAATAAATATCTTGTTGTTCATAAACAGTATTACAATGAGGAAAGACAAGTATCCACAATACACCAACTAATATCTATTATTTGTAGCCTCTTCCTAACCCTAAACTCTAAACCCTGAACTCTATCACCCTAATCTGTAAACACTAAAACAATAAAACTATTATTGTTTGCCCAAGCCGAGAATATTCAAAGGTTCCACACAAATATCCAAACACATGAACTAAGGAAATATTTCCTCAGATTCCAATAAATATCAACACAATTCATGAAAAAATCAAATTAATTTGAATAAATATCTTGTGGTTCATAAAAAGTATTACAACTAGGAAAGACAAGTATCCACAATACACCAACTAATATCTATTATTTGTAGCTCCTTCCTAACCCTAAACCCTAAACTCTGAACTCTATCACCCTAATCTGTAAACACTAAAACAATAAAACTATTATTGTTTGCCCAAGCCGAGAATATTCAAAGGTTCCACACAAATATCCAAACACATGAACTAATGAAATATTTCCTCAGATTCCAATAAATATCCACACAATTCAGGAAAAAATCAAATTAATTGTAAGAAATATCTTGTGGTTCATAAAAAGTATTAAAAATAGGAAAGACAAGTATCCACAATACACCAACTAATATCTATTATTTGTAGCCTAACCCTAAACTCTAAACCCTGAACTCTAAACCCTAATCTCTAAACACTAAACTCTAAACTCTAAAACCCTAATCCGAGAATATTCAAAGGTTACACACAAATAAAACTATTATTGTTTGCCCAAGCCGAGAATATTCAAAGGTTACACACAAATATCTAAAACTAAACATGAAACATTGAAACAAGAAACCCTAACCCCGAACCCTAAACAATGAACACTACTAAATAAACTCTAAAAACAATATAATCAGGAAAGAATAGATATTCATATTAACCAGACTAAACCTTAAACCCTCAAAGAGAACCCAAACCCTATTGTTGAAACCTTAACCCTAAGCTCTATACCGTAAACCCTAAACCAAACCTATACCATAAACCGTAAAAAATAAACTACAAACAATAAAAACTATTACTATTTAATGGGCCTTCGGCCCATGGGCCCTCGGCGGGCAGCCCTAACTAAGGTTGCAAGCCTTATGTGTTAGGACTTGATAGTGTGTAGGACTTGATAGTGTGTTTAATTTGACGTAAGACACAATATTCCAATCCTTCACATTAGTTTAATAATGGATATTGGTTTGCGAAGGTAGAATACTAGTTCATTTCAACAATGATGCAAATTAATATCAACACAACACAAAATAATATCGACTGAAAACAAATAAATATCATAATGTTTTACATAAATATCATGTGTTTAGTAAATAGTATTAAAACTAGGAAAGACAAGTATCCACAACACACAAACTAATATCTCCTGTTTGTACCCTAACCATAAACCCTAAACTCTAAAACCCTAATCACTAAACACTAAAAAAATAAAACTATTATTGTTTGCCCACGCCGAGAATATTCAAAGTTGCCACACAAATAAATATCATTTGTTTAGTAAAAAGTATTACAATTAGTAAAGACAAGTATCCACAACAGACCAACTAATATCTTCTAACCCTAAACCCTAAACTCTAAACTCTAAAACCCTAATCCGAGAATATTCAAAGGTTACACACAAATAAAACTATTATTGTTTGCCCAAGCCGAGAATATTCAAAGGTTACACACAAATATCTAAAACTAAACATGAAACATTGAAACAAGAAACCCTAACCCCGAACCCTAAACAATGAACACTACTAAATAAACTCTAAAAACAATATAATCAGGAAAGAATAGATATTCATATTAACCAGACTAAACCTTAAACCCTCAAAGAGAACCCAAACCCTATTGTTGAAACCTTAACACTTGATAGTGTGTTTAATTTGACGTAAGACACAATAAAAAAATCCTTCACATTAGTTTAATGATGGATATTGGTTTGCGAAGGTAGAATACTAGTTCATTTCAACAATGATGCAAAGTAATATCAACACAACACAAAATAATATCGACTGAAAACAAATAAATATTACACAAACAAACATACATAAATATCAAAGAGGCCCCATCAATTTTCATTCTCTTTCCACTCCTCTCCATTCTCCCGCCAAAACTCAAGCCGGGCCCACCAGCCCACCACGCCACCTGCCTTGATCTGCCGCCACCGCTGGTAACTGGGCCGACTTCTCACTTTGGCCCACCGCAAGCTCACTTAAGTGAGCCGCCTTCAAGCCGCTCTCCCCTCCGTTGGATGAAACATGGGCCGACGTGGCCCTTCATCCTGCCCTGTTAGTATCTGCTAACACTTTGCCCTGTTAGCAGATTAACTTCTGCGCTTTCGTTGTAACCGAGTTTCTTTCGGAGTGAAATATGAGTACCTTCTTTGTAAAAAAAAAAAATATATATATATATTCGGTGGTCAATAGAAGATTTTATTCTCAGAATTCTTGTTCGCTTGTTTGTTTCCCCGAGAATATGCCACTACTCTCACCTATGAGTACGGATTCTCTTTCCTACTTTCTGTTGCTACTACAGCTACTACTTCCCCTCCATTTCAGTTATTTCACCTTGAAGAAGAACTGATTTTCACATTGTTAAGTTTGTGGAGGGAGAAAAATATGGAGACGGCAGTGGTGAGAACTGAGAAGAACCTGAAGCAAGCTGCAATAGCCAGCTCTGTTCGCTGTTAAACTCAGGCCGACGATTCAATAACCCATAGTAGCCGCCACAAGAAGACGAAACAAATATGTCGTCTCTTCTGCTCAACGCGAGCCACAATCTCTGCTTCAAGCTCTCTTCTTCTGGATGTCAATGGCAGCCTCTTCTTCATAATAATACCCATCGTCTCTCCTTTTCACGGGTTGGTACTGTAATTCATTGAAAAATTGATACTTTGCCTGTTCATAATACAGTAGTCGTCATTTCTCATTTGGGTTTGTGCGATTTTTGAGGCTTAGCATTTCTGAAATTATAGTGGCCGACAGAAAGTCGCTTTCTGTTTGTTCTAATCGTTCCCCGTATCTGATTATATCATAAATTCAGTAAGCAATTGGAATGATCAGGAAGCTTTTTGCATGCAGGTGGGTGCTGAAAAGCAAGGTCCCATTGCTGCTTTAGTTTCTGCTGAACAGCTTGTATGGCCATCTCCGAGTGATGAAATCCCTTTCTGGAAGAGGGATTTCCCTTCTTGGGATGCCGATTCCGATGTTCCTAGTGACGTCGTCAAGGATTCTGATCCAATGCACGTCATCCACGTCACAGCCGAGATGGCTCCCATTGCCAAAGTTGGCGGCCTTGGTGACGTTGTGACCGGACTTGCTCGTGCTTGTCTGTCTCGTGGCCATACAGTGGATGTAATGCTCCCTTTCTATGAGTGCATACAGAGGCAGCAAGTTGTTGACCTGGAATTGGTCTCTACATACAACTCCTATCTGGAGGGGGAATGGATCCCGGTGAATGCATATCGCGGGGTAGTAACTGGCATTCCTGTGATACTAATTGAACCATCAAACCAGTTCTTCAAAGGGAAGCAAGTCTATGGTGGTTGCTACAATGAATTGGAGGCTTACTTGTTCTTTAGCCGGGCTTGCCTTGAGTGGATGCAGGTTGGTTGCATAGTGCTGTTCAATAAATTGTTAAGGGAATAAGTGGAAATTCTTGTTTGGTTTTGGCATTGTTGTTGATGAGTTACATAGCATGATGTGTATGATATTGGTGCAATGTATCAGGTAACGGGGATTCAACCTGACATTATCCACGTCCATGAATGGCAGACAGGCGCTTTGCCCTTGCTTTACTGGGATATGTACCACCATCTTTCACTGAAGGTATTCTATCCTTGTTTGCATCCCTACATTTATCACATTAACCTAATTACGACAACCTTTCGCATTGCATCTATTTGAATATGTTGACTTTTTACGTGCAAGAAACCACGAATAGTGTTGACAATACACAACATGGAACATTATGGAGAATGCCGGTAAGTTCTGTTTCCGTTCTTCAAATTAGTCATGAAGAATAAAGTCAGTCATCACATCATGGAGTTTACTCTTTTCGCCTCTGAGGACAAGTAAGTCACTTGAGTTACTATTGTACTGATCTTCAGCCAAGAGCAAATCAGCAAATGCGGTCTTGATGGGTCAGCATATGCAACGGTAGAGAAGGTAATTGACCAACATGATTCTCTCTATTTGGTATCTGTTACATAGTTTCTCGCAAGTTATGGTCGAGGGTGGTTGACAAAAATATAGATCTTCATTTTCACCTCAGTCAAGGATGACTGTGGCCTATTTGAGTGCCTGGATTTGGCTAAGTGGGAAGAAATGGATGTCTCTGCGTTTGCTTGACAGGAGATTGTCAGATTTCATACTGTAGTTGTGTGATTCAGCTTTCAGAAATCGTAGTGTAAGTTTATAATATTCTGTGAATGACAAGTATGTTATTATTTGAAAGGACAACTTTCCCTGTCTTTGTAGTAGTTTGTTTTTCATAAACTTGGATATTTGGTTGAGTTTTATTGCTTCTTAGTGAGTGCAAGTCGCTTGTAGTATTTCCTTCTTCCACCAATCCACGTTTCCCTATCTCTGTGTTTCAGGCGGTTGATGATCGGACTATTGGCCATAATCCTGAGAGGTTAAGCTTGCTGAAAGGTGGAATAGTGTACAGCAATGCAGTAGTGTGAGGAGCATAACTCTTACTAACCGTTTGTTGCTACCTCAGCTTCTTGAATGAGAATTTGACGAGATAAAATGCATTGGGCAACTGTGGTCACTGAAAGTGGCTGAAGAGAAGTGCTTTGAGTTAAAAGATTTTTTTCCGGGACATGACCATAAAGAATAAGACTCGTGCACTCATATCTATTATTTATCTACCATCTCCGCTCAACTTTATGACTATATTGGTCCCGAGTAACTGATTTTCCTTTTGTCTTCCAGTACAGTTTCTCCAACATATTTGAAGGAAACATTATGTTCAGGATGGTTGGCAGGCACTTTGATAAAGTCTCGTGATAAGTAGGTATCTCTAGATTTATACTTAACTTCAATCTGTGCGGTCTTCATTCATTTAGGGTCTGTTTACTTTAAGTGAACAGGGCCTTAGCGGTCGTTTGTAGCTTTCTTTCTGAACCACAATGTTCGCCAGCAACTTAATAGCTATTTCGTGCTATTCAATTGTCATGCTGTAAATAAAATGTATATATATATATATATATGCAGATAGGGTGGACAGATATAGTGTATGCCTATTCATGTATCTGCTCGGATGAAAGTAACTAGCTATTTAGGTACTAGGTACCACTTTTGGTCTATGCATTTCCATTTCATGTGGCTCTAATGCATGAACAGTGGACCACTTTTGCCTGGAATAGAATATTTGTCGTCATCTGGTTCTACTGTTGTCTGCTTGCAACTGATGCTAGTCATTTCCATATGATTCTTAATGCAGGTACTTTGGTATACTAAATGGTATTGATACTACAATGTGGAATCCTGCTACTGATGTTTTTCTGCCTGCTCAGTTCAATGGTAACCTTCTGCTAGGTTCAATGTGTTTGTTCCCCTGTTGAGATATCCGAGACTGAGGAAAGCCTGTAACCTAATCCACCAGTTCACTTGGTGCTTTCTTGCAATTGGTACAGCTCACAACATTGAGGGAAAGAAGTTATGCAAACAGTATGTGCAAAGGGGGCTTGGTTTGATTTCTGAGGCCTCTGGATCCGGTAACCAAATGCCGGATGCAGCACCAGAAGTGCCCTTGGTTATCTGTATTACAAGACTGGTTCCTCAAAAGGGTCTTCATTTGATTACTCATGCCATCAAGCGTATTGAAGAACTGGTGATGATCTAATGTCTCTTATTTATGTTCGTCATAATTTGACGTTCCTTTCTAACGCCTCTTATTTTGTTTGTGTACTGGCATGATTTCTTGTCTTGCTGTGACGAGCTTATGCTTTATGTTGTGATTGCAAGAGTGAGCCCAGATTTTCTTGAAGAATGTATGATGAGCTCTTTCTTCTCTGCTATTTATGTTATTAGGGTGGACAAATGATTATCCTTGGAAAAGCTTCAGATGCCCGCGTTGAAAGTGAATTCAAGCATCTTGCAGATTTGGTAAGGTTCCCAAAAATCCGATGTGGTGTTTATTGGTAGCTGTTGCCGTTATTCCCCTTAACAACAGCAACTTCAAGTGAGCATAACAAGGGTGAAAAAGTTGCTCATAGTTATGAAATATGGCGAACTCCTGAGGTTGGAAAATAGTTATCTTTTGTTCCAAGTTTATAGTTGCAAGCTAACCAGAGGTAAATCTATTAATTTTTCTGTGTAGCATAATCAAGGTCCCAGCATTCGCATTCTACTGCTCTACAGGTGATTTATTTTTTTCTTACTTGAGTTGCTTCCTCCGCATATTGATTTATTGATTGAGTTGCTTCTTTCACATGCAGCGAGGAGCTGTCCCATATGCTTTATGCTGCGGCAGACATGGTTTTAGTCCCCTCAATCTATGAGCCATGTGGACTTTCGCAAATGCTTGGCATGCGCTATGGTGCGGTATGCATCTAGGCTGAGAAAAAGGATGATTTTGATCTCGATCTTACCTGCTAGATTATTAGATCATTCTGCTACTTTTGTTCTGGGTTTTTAACAAGTTTTACGTTGCAATTGTTACCTAGAATTTGGGAAAATGTACACCTGTTGAAACAGTGGAGCAATTGTTTCAGGTTCCAATTGTTAGAAAGACAGGTGGCCTTGCGGATACAGTCTTTGACGTGGATGAGCAGTCAAACCATCATGAGATGACTAATGGGTATTGTGTCTATGGTCTTTTCATGCATAGCATAGTATGAGCAGTTAATTGCTGCGGCATGCAATACTGGTGTCCTGCCTGTTTTTTCAGGTTTGTCTTTGAAGGAATTGATGAAGGATCTTTCAATTGGGCTCTAGACCGCGCATTTACATATCATCGAGAAAGTAAGAATATCGTCTCTTCTATTATCAATCTTCTTCTACTTCTGGAAGTGCAGTAATAGTAAAGTAAATACTATCCTACCTAGAGAAGGTGTAGAGAATGTGCTCTGATCATGGATGAATGCAGAACCAGAGGAGTGGACTGGCATAGTTAGAAGAGTGATGGAATGCGACAATACCTGGAACAACACAGCCGGGAAGTATATTGAGGTGTACAACTCGGTTAGGGTTGCATAGTGAGAATGATGCTACAGATGGTCAGATGATACAATGCACACAAGTGCATATTCAGAATACATGCTGCCATTAAACCGAAGCCAATCTGAGGTGGAGAACTGCAATCTGCAGCAACGGAATGGTTTAGCAGCAATGTTCTGCTTGTGTAGTTGTGTAGTACAATGATACTAGTTGCATGTTTATAATGCCACTTACTTCTGTGCAAACTTAAACATGTTATCTCAACAACACATAAGAATGAAATGTCCAATTTCCTTACAACACCAATGGTGATTTCAAGTGAATTCTCTTCCAATATACTGACTAAGAAGTTAGTTGACATTTATAAAAGAAAAAGGTTCCTTAGTTAATACATAAGAAGTTGTTCAATCAACCAAGTTGATACTTAAGAGGTTCAAGCAAAACAAGTTCAGAGAATCATCAAGCTATCTGCCAAAGCCTAACATCAGGACTTATGGGCATATTATCTTAATATCATAGAACATCATATGATTGTTAAAATTTGCTTGAGAGAAGCACAAAATAGAAGCTTTCTTATCCTATTGTCACTGGAGTGAGCATCACCATCCCCATCATGACTACATGACCGGAGGTGATCTTGAAAACTTGGCCTGGCTTGGATTGATTGTAGCAAATGATCATCTTCTCTCCTACTACATCATCCTCTCACAGACCCTCCTTCACAACATCATCAAAGTATGGATGTTCCATGGCGTTCTTTGCTGATATACGCTTTGCCGGGTCATACTTCAACATTTGCTGCAATGTTTGGGAAGTCATGAGTTTTGATAGTCATTTATGTATGTATTCTGTAGGAGTATGGTACTTCTGGATGTGAGAGATTAGTAAGAGACTCACTTCGAGGAGATCAAGCCCATCTTTGTCCAGAGTAGGGACAGCAGTTGACAAACTCTGGGGACTCCATTGAGGATACTCATGCCAGTTCACAAGGTTACTGACTCCAGGCCACACCTCTTCATTTGGTGTACCCAACAGTCTGTCAATCATAAAGATTGATACATAGGTTACTAGTCTTTCAAGCAAGAAAGAGGTTAAAAAGAATGAACTTTCAAGTCACAGCAAACCTGAATATATGCAGAAGCTGCTGCAGCTCTGAATCTCCTTGGAATATAGCTTGTAGATTCACTAATTCAGCTGGAATTCATGAAAATAGCCAATACAAAATTGGTGAACTGACTTGAGTTAAGACGCTAGAGTGGTGAATCATAAACTATGGCAGGGGGTGAGCAGAAAAATCTTTACCAAATATGCAGCCAACGGACCATATGTCGACTGCAACTGAGTAGTGGGTATCTCCTAGGAGGACTTCAGGAGCTCTATACCAGAGAGTCAAGATCTGAACAGAAACATTGCAACCACACAACCCCTTTTAGAAGTTGGCAACTCGACGAAGTTTTCTCTGGAGCTAGCTATTGTAACAAGGAATAGCAAAATAAGGTTGTCCCCTTATAGCCTTACCTCATGGGTGTACTTCTTAATAGGGAGAGTAAATGCACGAGCTAGACCAAGATCTGCAATCTTAAGCATCATTGTCTTTTTGTCCATCAACAAATTGTGGGGCTTTAGGTCCCTGCAAAGCATAAACAACCATTAGTTAAAGTACATGACTAGACGAAACAAACATTTCGTAAAAGGGTTTCCAAATACCTGTGCAAGATCCCATGCCCATGACAGAAAGCAACACCCTTGCACAACTGATACATCAAGGTCTGGATGAAAAATTAAAGCAAGTGGTTAATGCAAGACCCAAATATGATTTTCTGAGCTACATACATATATATAAAGATACCGAAGAATGGTCCATCTAGTTCACAAACAATGGCTACATGCGTTGTCGACTACAGTACCTTAACAATGTTGGTAGGAATAGTGGCTTTCGTTTGGCGGAAGCTCCTGATATATTTCTTCAGATCAGTATCCATGTACTCAAACACCAGGTACAGAACTGTTTTCCCTTCTTTGTTCAGCCCTTGTTTCACGTCCAACAATCTACCCATCAAAATCAGAATTCATCATCAGGGGTTTCGAACCCGACACTAATAAAGAACCATCACCAAATGGATCGAAACTAAACACAAACAACTGTTTCCCAAAACTTCAGCCCCTGTCAATTTTGAAGAAACCGAACTGGAAAAGTATCAGAAAATTCACTTCCCAGGATCAAGTCAATAAACCTGATTCATCATTTAGTGAACTCCCGGAATTCTAGAGAGACCCTAACCGAACCACTGATCCAAGTCCATTTTGAAAACCTAATTTGTGATTCTTCATCACGTTAGCAGGGAAATGCAGCGAGGATACTAAAAATCCAACTCTTCAACTCCAGATTCAAACAAGCGAAGTGTACCTAGGGTAGGGAGGAGCCGAGCAAATGACTTAATTCCATGGCGATAGATTCGTTCAGGAGTACCTGACGACGTGAGGATCCCTGGAGAGCATTCTCAAGATGGAGACCTCGCGAAGAGTGGTTGCAGGAACTCCTTCGTCGTCCTCATGGAGTCGAGTCTTCTTCAGAGCCACGATCTTCCCTGTTGCTCTCTCCCTCGCTCTGTACACCTTTCCGTACGTTCCTTCCCCGACCTTCTCCAGTTTCTCGAACAACTCCATCACTGACGCCGTCGTCGCCGGTTTCTCCATCTCTCTCTATCTTCCAGTTGCTTGATTGCTCAATGGCTCTGCCGATTTAGTCTCTGCGCGTTTACTTTCTTATATATTCCTTTCTGCGGAGCGTGGAAAGGAAGACGGAGAACCGTTGATTGTTATGTGCCAAGAGCAGTGGACGGCTAGGATGCAAAGTAAATTCAAAAAATGAGCGGCCGTTGCTTTTCTGGATAGTTTTGAATTTCGAATCTGCCTGGGTTGCCGTTTGCGCGGCCAACTTTGGGCCCCAGGTGTTCTTGTAGTTGGCCAAGGCCCGAGCTATTGGGTTAACGGAATGGCTCTGTTATTGGGCCTCAATGAATAAATGACAGCTATTCAACGAAAAAATAAAAATAAAAATAAATGAAAGCTACTTTTTACTTCTACAAGGTGGGAGCGGATTCCATGAGTAACCTACAGGTGAATAACAATGAATAACCCAATTAGAATAGCCACATCAACGTTTTTCTATCTTTCGTGGAAAGTTTTTAATATTTTTCTCTTTAATTTTTAACGGACGATATCTCTCTCGTTTTAAGTAGGGAGTTAAATTTTTTTTTGCACAGATAAATCATATTAATTGTGTTTTTTAAAATGATATCCAATTTGATATATTTTTTGAACAAACAAAATTTAGGCATTTTTTACGAGTTCATACCATGGTGGTATTGATTGGTATTAAAATAAGAGCATATCATATGGTATGAAAGCGTACCACAAGATACCACCCCTCATACCAGGGTGCTAAAGTGTGATATTTTTTGGTCTTCTTTTTTTCCACCTAAAAATTTTTAGATCCAAATAGATCATGATGAACTCGTTCCTTCTGTGCAATATTTTCAAAAACGACTTAAAAATGAAAGAGATAACATATGGTATGGAGTTGGTAAAGAGAGGTATGAAATTTTTTTTCTCAAAAAATATTGAAAATGAATATCATTTGGTAGAGCACAAATAACTCGTTCCATCTGTTAAAAAAATTGAAATCTATGTTAGAACAAAGTAGATAAGAGACAATAAAGAAAACTAGGGGAAATAATAAAGTGTTTTTAATTCTCCATCCGTAGATCGGATTTTCTGAGCCCACTTAAAAATGAAGGTCCAGATTTTGTTATGCAAATGTGCATAACCCTAGGGATGGCAGTAGAACGCGAATCTGCTACCATTCCCGACCCAACCCGGTCAACGCAGGTAAAACCCGCTTTGACGAATTGCAGGTCGGGTTCGGATTTAAACCCACTATACTTTTTAGGGTTGGGTTGAGTTTAGCCATATCCAACCTGTGGATACCAGCACCCAAGTCCATACCCCCACACCCACTGAACCCTTAACTAATTGACTATAAATTCTAAAATAATTCCTCACAAGTCCAATTAATAATATTGTTTGTGGATGTTTATCTTTAATATTAAACAATTAGTATGAATAATTTGTGAGTTAGTGTGTATGTAGTAGACAATAGTAGTGAGAACTAGTGTAATTGTATCTTTGTACATGAACCAGCAGATACCCAAAGGGTTGAGTTGGGTTTGAGTTTTCCAAATCCAGTGTGTTTTACTTTACCCCGATTTTTTTTGGTAGATAAACCAATGGGTTTGGGTTTGGCATAACCCGACCCAACCCGCCTCATTGACATCCCTACATAACACCCTAACTAGAGCCACAAGCCCGAGATATTGAATTACTAGCTTATAACTCGGCCCGTTGGCCGAAATGTTCATATTTGAATATTTATAATTTTATGTTAAGTTTAAGTCTATCAACCTGTTTAATTTTTTTTGATAATCTTTCGAATTAGATGATACATAAAGAAATAATATATAGGTTGAACACTCGAAGAAATACCATTAAGAATATAAAATATTAAAATGTATCATTGATTTCATTTTCATAATGATAATATTATATTGGTTAGTTAATTGTTAAGAAAGATAGAATATAAAAGCTCACTGGAATTACCACACGGCCCATATATAGTTTGAAACTGAATCTAAAACCTCACAATCCTACATAAAGGCTTCAATGCTCTTCTTTTAGGAACAACATGCCACTAATAAAAAAGAAATTGAGAGTTGTTGGTTCAAGTCAACTATATACTACAAACTAAACTAAGAGGGAACCATCAAAACTTGAGAGCAAACGACAAAATTAGGGTTATCTCCAATATACTAATAGACTTTATCAAAGTCATAAGACACAAAATTAGACACTCCTTTTCTATAAGTTTCAGTAGGTTGAATAAAGAATCGACCTAATTCAGTAAATCAATGATTTCTCGTTTAACATATAAATAGGTTCTGGTAGCTGCAAAAACCATAAACCTAAAGAGCCAATAGCCACCACTCTCCGTTGAACGACCAAATTTTTATCCACTCTATCTTTAATCTCAAGAGGCATATGTTTCAACCAAACAACTTCATTTCCTCGGGGCACTTGTAATAAGTTCGCTAAAACCAACACTCATCTCCAATTCCATCAATATGTTCATCTCCCCCTTGATTGCCTTCACCTGTTTTAGTCCACTTCCATGTCCTTCCATAACCTCTCCATTTTCATTATTATCCTCATCATCTCTCACTTCTCTCTCTTTAACTACTCCAGTTTCTCTTCCATGTCTTTCAACGCCCACATCAATTCAGTCACTACCCTCTCCAACTCCCTCTTATCGGATTTGAAATTTTCTATTTGCCTAGTTTAAATCCCAAAAATAAAAACTGTCGTGCCAAGAGAAATCGGAAGATTAATTTTCAAATGCGTTCTTGTACTGGGAAGTGAAAGGGCCAAATTATTGCACGATGGAGGGACTTTTGGAGGAAGTTATAAAGAGATAAGAACAAAGATAAAAAAGCACAACATTTAATTTTAAATTGAAAAATACAATGACGCAACATGTAGTAAAAGAAATAGTTTCTTCCATGTTAGCCAATTACAAATTTACCTAAGCATAAATTAAGGAGAGCATGAATTTTTAAATGGATAAAATTACATGAAACTCTACTATGGAAATTGAAGTATTAAGCACCATAATAATAAATATTGTAGACTTGGTGGGCTTGTTGATCATGATGTAAAAGTCATTAACTTTCCAGAGTTTAGTGTATGTTTTGTATCAAATAGAAACAACAAATTCGTTTAGTGTAGTTGGTTATGATTGTTGTTCGTGCTTGAAGAGACCTGGGTTCAAATCTTGATATTGATATTTTTTATTTGAAATAAATAAATAATTGTAAAGACAAAAATATCATTCCTACTTTCACTCTCGTTACAGAAAATTTGAAATGGAGAAAATTACACAAAATTCTACCATATATTAATGGGGATGGTCCAATATTTTTTCCAAAGACAGAAATCAGTAAAGCCCGTGTCGTAAAGGGGCTTTTTAATATTAATGGGCTTCCATCATAAGTATGTTATTCATATTAAGGGTTATGGATATTAAATGTCCATTTATTATGAATTTTTGTCAAATATAAGTATTTAATATATTTTTATATTAAAGATACTCTTGCAGTTTAAAAATATGATCAAATATGTCATTCATTTAAAATTTTCATCTAAAACCGTCATCAACGGGCGAATGATTGTTTAGACAACTTGACCTTGACAAATGGGAGGAAAAAACAATCCATTTATTTCTCTACATCTTGTGTAAGTAAAACTATTAGGGTATTAGGCATTACAAAAGAAACAAAAACAAATTAAATGAAATTATGAAGGTTATGTTAGACATTTGTGCCGCCCAAACCAGTATTCGATCATGGCCTTGACAAAACGGGAGGGAAAAACTCTTCATTTATTTCTCTACGTCTCGTGTAAGTGAAACTATTAGGGGTATTAGCCATTAATTACAAAAGAAACAAAAAAAAAAGAAATTATGAAGGTTATTTTAGACATTTGTGTCGCCCAAACCAGTATTTGATCTTGATTGGATGTTTCTGGATGAAAATTTTAATAAAATGATATGTTTGATAATTTTTCCAAAATACATAAGTATGTTTGATGTGAAAAATAGTAAACATATTTGATAACAAGTATTTATTATAATATGAATTTGTGTGCTATAATTAATTGATTGTCGGTATGATGAAGCTCTTAATTATACACGAGGCATGTATATTAATTTTTAAACTCCTATTGTGCTCTAAAATGTTTTTTTTTTGTTTTAATTCTTAGTGGATTAATTATGGTGAAGATCGAAAATAATCTTTATTAAAATAGAGAAATTGAAGAGATAATTCTTTTTTTTTTTGTTTCAAACGATAAAATGATCATTTTTATTTTTTTTATACCTAAAAAAATTTAATTTATATCTCGATTCTCAAACAGAATCTATATCACTCAAAAAAAAAAAAAACGGAATCTTTAGAGTTGGCACTGTATTGGTATTAAACCAGCCCACTACATTTTATTTCATTGCATTATGATTACAACTTTACAAACTCGACATACATGAATCTCGAATTTGTAAGGAAATGTCCCTTATGATAAATCACACAGTCCAATAAAATAAAAGCAAAAACATAATATGCTACAATAGCATTAGGTAAAGACCTTTTCCTTTATTGTTTTAATTAAGAAACTACTTTTTTTTTTTGGCCACAAATTGAGGTGGGTCTTTCATTTCATGGCGAATTGAACAAGACCAGGAATGTGGACATTCATGATGTAGTCCTCCCAATTGATGCTCCTCGTATCCATGTTTAACTCAACCCCACCCACCTCGTACAACCCTTTTTCACGAGCACTTTTCCTCAACTCCTCCAAGTTCGTGTCGTCGAAATTGCATGTGTAGAAAACAAGGCCGAGATGAGTTTACCGTGATATGAATGGTAAAACGTAATCACTGTTCAACCGTGAGATATCATACAATTGATTTATTCGGTACAATTTTCTATATGGTTTACCAATTCTTAGTAAACTCACCTTTGATTCGACGAATATTACATCTTTCACATCATTCATAACGTTAGTTATCAACAAAGGAGGAGCGAAGTTGATATATATATATATATATATACTTACATTCCTTCGAAAAATAAAAAGGGCTTATAGAGTTTTATCAGTCGCATTCCGGACTTTAATTTCCGATGTAGATCAGCGTGGTCTGCTTCCCATTTCCGACAACAACTTTTGCTCAGTAAGCCCATTGCCTATAATTGAATTAAAAAGAATAAGAAAAAAAAAATGCAATACATGTTATAACTGTATAATATACATGTATTAGCATTATTGAGTCTAATTTGCCGTACGCAAAATGTTTTAGCAGAAGAAAGAAAGATAAATTGGAACGAACCTTCAATGGGAGTTGAAAGCGAATGGCCATGTAAATGTAGAAAGAAGCCATGGAATTAAAAGTGGTGATTTTACCGACTTTTACGGGCTTCTCGTGGCGATCTCTCCATGGATCTTTGGAGAAGAAAGCCTGGCCCATCTTGTGAACCTCTGGCAGTCTTATTGGGTTCTTCGATGAAGAGCCCAAATGGTAAATTAGCTCCAGCTGATGGTTTGCCAACGCCATCGCCATTATCCCGATAGTTGCATTCACAACCATGTCAGCAGGTATCTGAAGATATATTGATCAGGTAAGTAAATGTGTATTGATTAGGTTATTATTTAGAGGAATTTTATGATGCTATATAGAATTGATGCTATTGGTTTTTGTTTTTAGGTACAACTTGAATTTGTACCTTTAACGTTATGGTATAACTTCAGATTGTAGTTATACTCTTTTGTACAAATTCTTTTATGGTACAACTTGAACTTGTACCTTTATGTGATGTCACAACTTCAAGTTGTAAAGTTGTACCATAATACAAGGGAACAAATTTCTTTATGGTACAACTTCAAGTTGTACATTAAAGCATCAGTGTTTTATAGTATAGTAGAAGTGCTCTATTACTTATTAGGGGTTGTTTGGTATATGCGTACCTAAAAGATGCATTTGATGAATGCATGTATTGTATAGAATGCATAATTTTTTTTTGTTTCAAAATGAAAAACAATGCATGCATTTGATTAATGGTGTGACACTTGAAATCATTTAAAATGAATGATTTACAATCTCAACGAATTATTGAGATTGTTCTTCTATTTTTCTTTCCCTTTATATCCCTATAAACTTTTATGCATTGTTACTCTTGTATGTAAAGGAAAAGGTAAACATGACCTTTCACTTAAAAACATAGTAAAATACGGTACGAGAAAGTTAAGTATAAATTACGTACGGGTATTTTATTTCGTCTTTAAGCTAATGTTACGTTTAATAGTACGTTAATAGTTATAAATATATAAAATTAATTATTTTTAAAAATAAATCATATATAAAAAATAGTTAATTTAATAATTTTATTCATTAAATACAGATATTAAACGTGCTATACGAGTTTTATACGTGTTTAGTACGGGAGCCGTCAAATGAATGGAAACAAATGAAACGGCTTGACAATAATACGGATACAGAAGTTTTAAACGAATAAAGTACTTACGCGTACATATACGTGTATTAAACGTAGTATTCACTAACTATGCTTAAAAAGCGATTTTCTCATTTTATTCATAAAATATACAATCACAACTACCAAACAATGTAATCTTAAAATACATGCATTTAGACAATATATCGATTTACAATGAAAGTATTCATACATTACTACATCAATTCTAACAATCGCAAATACCAAACGACCTCTAAAATCAATTATTTCTTGACATCATATTAGATAAATTGATGATCGAGATGTCAGATGTTTAAATCTGGAAACTCTCATTTGTTACTTAAGCATATGGTGTTCGGACTTCGAATCCTTGCAAATTTCAACCCATATAAATTGGTTTTCATTTTGAAGGGAGTGTGTTTTTTTTCCATAAGGATGACATATGTTTTTTTATAATTACGTGGTACTGAAAGGATTCAAATTTGGGATCTCCAAGTTCAAGACCAGTAGTGAATTAGTGATATTACAAAGCCATGGAGAAAGGAGAGTGGGGCAAAAGATGAGTAACTCACCAAATCAAGAATAACGTCTGGTTTGTAGACGAGGCATTTCAGTCTTCCTTTGGCGTAGCTCACAAGTACTCCATCAAGAGTTCTACATAAACAAGTTGTAAAATTTTCAAAGTTATAAAAAAAAAAATCCCGCCACATTCATCCTTTCAAGGTTCAAGGTAAAAAAAGAAAACAATTTTCGATTTCTATGTGCCCCATCGTATTTTTTTTTTCTCTTCAACTCCTGCTAATTGAATATCAATAAGTTTATACATATTTTGGACACACTTACGAGGGCAAACAATTCAATGTAGATCAACCGTGTGTGTACGTGCTCAATTGTAGTGAATCATTATACCGTTAAAAAAAAGTGACACAAATAATTATACCACGCGGAAGAAATCGAAATCACTGCGATATCAGGGATGACAATGATAAGAATTTGCGGAGCGGGTTTCTCTAAACCATCTCTATTCACATTTTCGCAAACGTAAATCCATAACCCACTCCATGCCCATATGCGAGAAGAGATTTCACAATCTCATACTCGCAGTTTCCGGATACATGTGGGTAATGTTAGTGTTGTGGTATATGATCAACGATTGAACTTCTCCCAACAACTCGAGTTATTGGAATCAACTGGTTCATGACATGGTATCAGAGCCTTCTGTGACCGAAAGGTCTTGTGTTCGATTCCCGATGACCCCCATTTGTTAAGCACATGGTATTCTTGTTTTCAGACCTGTGCAAACTTCAAGCCCTTGTGAGTGAGTTTCGTTTAAGGGGGCGTGTTAGTGTTGTGGTATATGATCAACGATTGAACTTCTCCCAACAACTCGAGTTATTGGAATCAACTGGTTCTTGACAGGTAATACCCGCCTCGTATATATGACGAGTGCATAAAACATTACCTAGCACCTTCCAGCCAGCCAGGAAATGGGTCTTTAAGAGTACTTATCACCATTGTTGGCCTTAGGATGACAAGAGGGAGGTTGCCCTTGGAGTCGAGAAGCACCATCTCTGCCATTGCCTTAGTGAACGTGTAAGTGTTAGGCCATCCATAGTATTTCGCCCTGAATTCATCAGGTAATAACAACTTAGAAAATAAAAACAATTAAAGAAAAAAAACCCAACTTTAAAGAATAAATGAAGAGAAAAATAATCTGAAGAAATATTATTCCATTACCTTTCCAGGCCGAGATTTTGCATGGCAGAGGCAATTTCTTTGTGGGGGAGTTTTTTGGAATGGAGTTCTTGCAGTCTGTTTTGGAGAAGCTCATTCTCACAATTCAATACTTCAGCAATGCTGTTGTTATTTCTTGCTCTTCTCATCCTTAGCGGCTTCTCCATTAGAAGTCCTGGCTCTTCCCCATAAACGTATGCTGGTGACCATAATTGAAAAACGTTGGCATAGTTAGAAAATGAAGAAAAATTGAATCCTTAAAGTTCATATATGGCAAAAAGATCGAAATTTTTGGTGTAATCATCAATTTAAAATTAATAATAGTTAAATCATCAATTTAATTCTTTAAATACAAATATTAAAAGTGTTATACGGGGTTTATAAGTGTTTAGTACGAGAGTCATCAAAATAATTGGAAAAAAATGAAACGACTTGACAACAATACGTATATGAAGATTTCAGACGGATAAAATACGTACGGACATATATTAATTGGTGTATTTACTAACTATATATATATGCAACTCAATACTCATACAGACCATGATAATTAGTTTATATATTATTCTTATTTCTGTTATTGTCGGTAAGTAATTTTCTTATTATTACGTACTTTGCATGCATGGCTATTGGTTAATTACCAGTTGAGACATGGACAAGCAACTTGACTTTGGCACATTTCTTCGAGAAGTCTAGCACGTTCAAAGCTCCAAAAGTATTTGTCCCAAGTGCCACATCGTACCTTAAAAAAAAAATAATTAAGTGCACAAGCTAGGAGATTTGAGTATTTGAACAAAAGAACAATGATTCGAGAGAATTAAAAACAAAAAACAAAAAAACATGAATCGGCGGTTGTGTATTGTGTTAAAAAGTTATAACCTTTGATCAAACTTGGTGATGGCGGCGAAGTTGAGAACCATGTCAGTTTCTTTCAGAATTTCTTCTTTCAAATGGAAGTCATCAATCCCCAAACCCTCGCAGGAGACATCTCCAACAACAACGGTAACCTTCTCCGAGATGAATGGCTGGAAATTTACTCCCCATTTATCCTTCAAAACCCTAAATACTTCCTTCCCGACGACCTTTCATAGTTCATACACACATACGTAAAGAAGTAGAAGTAATTTAATGTAGTTTTGTTCCAAAAAAATAAAACATCAATAATCCAACACATTTGTTTGAACTGTGTTTAAAAAATGTGTGGACCGTATCTTAATGATCGTTGTCCGAAACAGTGACGTAACTAGGAGGTGTCGTGAACCTCTTCCAACCAACACTCTGGCTATGCCCCTGATCCGAACAACTCAAGACGTATTTAATTCAATTCAACACGAATTTTCCCACCGGAAAAACCGAGAATCTTTCTCTCTTTTTACCTCATCATGGAAGCGCCTAGTGGCGGAGGTTGGATTGGCAGCTCTCAGAAGAAGGTAGAGCTTCTTGACGTTGGGTTGAATCCTTAGTATCTTCTCCAGAAATACTGGACATATATAATATATATGTACGTAGTTTCACAAATTATTGAAGAGAAAGATTTCCCAGAAGCTGATGAATGCTTAAAAAGAAAGAAGCTAGCTAGCTCGCCAGGCTGAGAATAATGTTAATTAACTAGTACGTACTCTTTGCAAGAAAGCCAGTGGCCCCAGTCACCAAAACAGTCTTGTGCTCGAATGGTAGCATTATGAATGGCGTTGCAACTTCTTCAAGTAGTGTTAGAAACTGAAAGCTAAGGTTCCAAAGCTTGTTTGTTATAAGCTAACCGCACCCTACCCTCAATATATAGTCCGCACATATATATAGCAGACAGTGGCTAGCCATAATTAGAGATGTCAAATTGTCAATCAAACCCACCACCGCGCAGGTACCCAATCGCTTCCGATCCAGTCAAAACGGGAAATTTTCGCATTGATTAGGTGTGGGGGTGTCGGGTGGGTATGGGCAAAACTCGTAAAAGGGTTTGGCCTTCCCCCGCCGTCACCTAAAATATTTCTTTGCATGTAAAAAATATATAGTTCATATTTTAATCTCTCAATGATTAGGAAGGATAATTAAGAAATATATATATAAAGAGCTGAAATGTAATTCAGCGTGGCCACTCAACCCAAACACGAATTTCTTTGCCTCCATTTACCCTTTCATTATTCTTGCACTTCTTTGCCTCTTATTAACAAGATTATGTTAGCTTATTATTGCTTAGTAGATGTGTCAGAGTCGGAGATGAATGATTTGGATAGTATTGTACTTTTCTTAGGGATTAATGGATGTTTTAGGATTGAATGCTTTGAATTCGTATTACAAAATGGTTGTAGATTTTTATTTTTATTTCGTGACTTATTAGGCCTGGTTATTAATTAGTGTTATAACTGAAGGTGTACATATTGAATTCTATGTATAGTAATATTGGATATACGAGACGGATATTATCCACGGTTACTCGAAAACGACATGTTTGGGGAAGAGGTTGCAAATCCTCCCCACATGAGTTTGGGAGATCAATGATTGTCAAAATTTGTGCTGACATCGAAAAGTCTTTTATCTACCAAAATGTTTCCAAACAGTCTCAAGGTATAAACACGAACATTATAAATTTAGGTAAAATTTTTAGGGAGAACCCATCTAGATTATAGGTAACTCTCTCACATTTTCAAAACCAATGAATAACATGATTGGATTATGAAGTACTACATAACTATCGATTTTACATGGTAACCTAATTCCTCCTCTAATTACTTTATCCAGTGAGCCCTAACTGAATATATTAATAGAATACGTACATCAATTAATTAATCAGACTCCTTTCGACTACTCCTAATAATACTCGGTGGTAGCGTGTACTCATTCCCTTTGCCCTTCCTGACTGGCTATTTCTATATATCATGTTGTCACCATCAGCTCCAATTCAATGACGGGACATGTCAAAGCTCGTAAAATTAAGGGAGGACAAATTGTCTGGGACGAGATATCGTCACAACCCTTTGTACGCAAGAAATCATCAATACGATAGAATTGTGCCGAATCCCTTAGAGCTAATGAAAGTTCATCATCGTCATATCACTTGTATCTTTGAGTATTCCATTCACCATTTTGGTTAGAGTGTCACTATACATATTGATCAATCGACGTCGACCAACTATCATTTCTCTTTGTCTTAAATTTATATATCTGGAAATTCCTACAATACCTTGAAGTTATGGTAACTTGATGTTTTTGACCTGCTATAACAGGTTTCACAAGTCGCATTACGTAAAACACAATAGGAATACGTAATGGTTACGTAATGTATGTTTATCTTACGTAATAGTTGAAAAATGTCATTACGGAAACCTTACGTAATAGACACTCATTTTACGTAATGAATATTAACCTTTCGTTACGTAATCTGTTGAATCATTATGGAAGGCTTACGTAACACTTCTAATTTAACTGTTACGTAAGAAATAACTATCGTTACGCAACCTTTACGTAATAGATGCATACTTTATGTAACAGTTGTAAAGTGGCATGACGGAAGCCTTAGGTAATGGCTGGTCCTTTTACGTAATGATATTAATCAAGTTACGTAATGTGGTAAGTCATTACGGAAGTCTTACGTAACACATCTAATTTAACTGTTACGTAAGAAATAATCTTCGTTTGTAACCTTTACGTAATGAGCGTGTATTTTATTTAACAGTTACGTAAAACTAATGTTTACTACGTAACAATTACGGAAGCCTTATGTAATAGGCGATGCTTTTACGTAATGAATATTAATCTAGCATTACGTAAAATGATAAGTCGTTACGGAAACCTTCCGTAACGCTTCTATTTTAACTGTTACGTAAGACTAACAAGCATTACGTAATTGTTACGTAGTAAACATTAGTTTTACGTAACGCGACCTATAAAACCTGCTATAGCAAATAAAAAACGTCAAGTTATAATAACTTCAAAGCATGGTAGGAGATCCCTATATATCTCCTCTTTATATATATCTATCCATTCATATTTACGGTAGTTTTCTAAAACATTCATGTGTCACAAATATGTGCGGGAAGTTGGAAATATGACGCGTGAATGAAAAATGCCAATCATGCGTAGGTGTGTGGAACTATACAAGCGTTGTCGTTTGGAGGTGAGTTTTGACTAAGGTGTGCAACGGTTTGGATCGGATCATATTGAACAATAATATAATGCCGGTATGATCTTTAGTTTTCACAGATTTTATAAATATTGGGGGAAAAATGAAACGAATTGATATTTGGATTGAACCAAATTGGAACAAATGATTTTGATGAATCAAATAGGAAAATATACATTCGCAGAATAAGTAAGTCTATCAAATACAAATTCATTCACTTCAAATTACACGACCAACCATTATTAATTCTAAAATCGCCAAGTCTAACTATTCTCAGTTCTAATTTATACGAGTGCTCGTATTTTGCCTACTTGTATTTGCTCATATTCGTGCTTAATGGAAATGAAGAAAATAATATAGGGAATGAAAAAGGAGAAAGTTGAACGGAGAATGAAAGTCATAATTGAGAACATTTTAGAAAAGTAAAATTGAAAGTGAAATGGGTGTGATTTGGCCTCCGTATGATTTTTTAAATCTTCAGCCATTTTTATTTATAATAGTAATTACATATAATGTATGTATGATCACTTCAAAGTTCTAACAATAATAAATTGTTATTTTTATAACTGTAATTTGTTACATTTAAACTTATCTTTTCGTATCATGTCGTGCTTATTATACTCAATAGTCTCTCAAAAACATTAGGCTCAAAAAGGCCACTGATAAATTGTGTCATGCTTGTGCCCTAGTTTAGATCTGGTGTGACTCATGAAATATTCATACTCATGTCGAACATGTCCATATATTTCGTGCTCGTATTCATGCCATTCTAGCTCGTGAAGGGCCCAGCCCAATGCCCAACTACACTTGCGACTTGTGTGTCATTTTTTATTCAATTTTGATAACACAAACTTGGAGGACTTGAGAAAAAGTGGTAGCGAAATAGGGTTATATCAAGGTGATCAGTCAAACATGGATACGAGGATCAAGGAGGAGTACATCATGATTGTCCACACCACATTCCTGGTCTTTTTCAATTTGCTATGAAATGATTAGAACAACATATATATTGGGTAATTAATATAAACGGTCACAAAACGGTTACAAATATTTTGTTTTGCACGATTCAGTAACACAAATTTGAACTTGTACAAAACAGTCATATCCATCCATCTCTATCCAAAAACTTAACAGATAGCTAATGATGGCTGATGTGGCTTCCAACTAAGTTTGCAAAGGCCAAAAAGTCGTAGAATGCACAAGGGAAAAGAAAAATGGCCATGATGCTGAACGAGAGTCTTGTAAGCACCACACAGTTAGTCGATACCAATTTCTACTCGTGAATCTCTCAAGTTGAATGTAAAGCGTTTGTTCGTGCTATCACTAAGTTTGAAGGAGAGCAGAACTTACTCATTGAGCTTCATCAACCAATGGCATTATACCAATGCTTCACACAGGGAATTCGGGTGCTTCGTACTTCAACTGCAGACCTCTTTTTCCATTTCTTACACGAAGCAACTGTCTCTCGACTAACTTCGAGTTCACTATGCTTCCACCGCCACTCAGCTGACTTGTCTTTACCATAGCTTATACAGCAAGTTACCTCTTGCAAATACATTCACTTAGTTCAGACCATGATACTCTGAAGCAAAGTTGTCAACCCGCAAGTTGACCCGGACCCGGTCGAACTAGTGGGTCAAGAGTTAATGGATCACCCGCTTTAGCCCGGAAATATAGAAAGAGTCATTATACTGTACTTATCTTGATAAATTATATCAAATCTCATCTAACATATGAGTAATAACATATAACATTACACCAAAGTAACATGTCGTACTTAGATCCAACATATACCGAAACTTCAGCCACACTTATATAACATCAATATTCAAATGTTCAACTAAGGATTTCAAAGATTGAGTTTGGTGAAAAGAAAAATCGGAAAATAGGCACATTTCGCAAACCAAGGAAAAAAATGACACAATTTGACCTCCAACTCGATACCTTGTAGCGGTCGACCCGGCGGGTGCGTGCGGCCCGTTTTTTTCACCGGGTCAAGATTAAAGTGGGTCAACCCGCGGGAGCTAATAGAAGTTCAGACTTCAGAGCAAGGTTGTCAACCCGCTGAAGTCTGAACTTCTATTAGCTCCTCTTACTCTTTTGCAAATCATCCTAACATTACAATTAGAAAGAGACTAGAAGAGACTCATTGCCTGAAGTAGAGAAAGAGTACGAAAAATTAAGACAGTAAAACAGGATATTTCACAAAGGTCATGATTATGTTCTTTTATGGCTACTCCTAAGCGTTCCCTGATACACCAGGACATGATATAAAATGGAGTAGGAAATACTAGGATGCAAGCCTGACTACCCAGTTGCCTAACATGCATAGCCAATCCAAATTCAACAGAGAAATAAATCAAGAACACCATGGTCGAACTCATAAAATTATCTATTACCTCACACTGCAATGCCTGGCAAGCGATCACGAACAAGAAACAGTCCAACTTCCTTCTTTATTGCAACCTGCATCACCCTTAAAGATTAAGAACAATAAATATCACTAGATGGGACTTTCAACAAACTCCTGCATCTCCAACAGCTAAACATTAGAGACAATGACAGTTATACCATTCCACATCTCTACCTTTGATCCAATCACCCCTTGGGAGACAAAACGGTTCCTGTGAGTATAGAAAATTGTTGCTAATGTAAATTTTCATCTCTCCCTTCTCTTTTCTTGTAATTATTTTGCCCCCCAAAGGCGGAGGTACTTTACAATCATTTCCCATCAACCGAATGCCTGGCCCATTCACCCTTACAATCCAATAAAAGAACCCTAGGATTACAGTGAATTAACAGGGCATCAGGCAGGTAGTATACAAATTCAAAAAAGACCCAGCATCCCAACAATGCAGTCATTGCCAACTACTTCAAATCTCGAAATGCCACGTACATCCTTCAGTTTGATTAAATGAGGAACAACATGCCCAGATGCTTTGCCTGAAGAGCCCCTTCTAGGTTTTCGAAGAGCAATTGACTACAGAACCGGAAAATAGACAAAAACAGAATGTTTGTTATGTTGCAGTCCAGCAGCTCAAAGATGTCGGACATACCCCCCTCGACCGGTGTCAGTAACAAAAGAATTCTGTAATATGAAGTCATGGACAAGGATCCCATTTTACTGTTCTCCAAAAGCTGATACAAGTTAACTGAAACTCCCCCACAAACTCCTCCACTGGTCAACCATTGTATCAATGAGCTGAATCTTGGTCATCACTGCTCAACTCAACTATATGTACTTTCTTACTATCATCTGCCACAGTAAATGCATCAGATGGCTTAGCTGTGACAAAATCCTTGTCACATAATACTGCAGGGTTGGACTCATTGCTGATAGCCTCAATAGCAGAACTGGAATCATTAGCAGCAGGGTAGTGTACAGAATCAGTTATTAAGCCAGCACCAACTTCAATTACTGCAGTTTCTTTAGCACCATCATCCAACTTAAGCGCTTCTGCAAAAGTGTCTGATATCTTACTTAGAGTCTCATAACCAAGTAGACCTGTAGAATCCACAGTTGGAATTGTTTGTTGCTTGCTCCTCCTTTCCTTCAAAGTTCTCTCTCGCTGATCATAAAATTCGAAATCATCTAGGATGCATGTATGTGAATCATGACCCTTGAATATATTCAACATCTCAACACCATGTTCTAGTTTCACCTGCATTATATTCAACATAATAGCAACCAGGTGAGGTATTTTTCGGTGAATACCGCATAAGTTATAGGTTGTGACAAAGGATCAAAGGGAATAAGAAACAACAGTAACAAAGATGATTCTGTGTTAATGATATCAAGTCACCAACACCCCATAACCAGGTGCTATAGGTCATGAAAGAAAATTATGTGTGACATGCAAGTAAGTAAAAGACAAGTCATACATGGCATAACTCATACAGTACTCACGTTTTACCACATCATTCTAAGAATACCAGGACTTAAATAAAAACCCTAAATATCTAACATCAGATACAGAGATGGTTGAAAAGTTAATACACCTGACTTAAAGTGACATTTAAACTTCAATGCTCGTGTAAAATAACTCTCATACCAACATTAAAGTCTAAAGAGGCATGGTAGGAATAAGTCATCAAATACAAGCCTGGACATTGTGTACCCATTGGAGACCATATACTTCAATCCCCAGCTGAATATTGAAGGACTAAAAGAGTTCTGAAACCATGGGGAATAATAGAATACAGGGGCGCATCGAAGGTCCACTAAACAACCAAAAATAAAACCACAGCACCTTTGAACCATCAGTGTAATTTGAAGTACAGTACATGGTCAATTAATACAAGTATAAAGGACCACAAAGATCATTCCTGGGTAGCAATGACTTTATTTGTGCTTTCATTTTCTTGTGATTTATGCCAATTACTTATACTCAGGCATTGTGTACGTAACCAAGAAGTATCAAGGGGCAACAGAATCAAGGGTCTAGGTAATGACCAAAACTTCGGCCAAAGAATAATAGAAGTAAGCAAATTAAAATACCTCCTGACAATCACGACTGTGAGTAACAGGTTTGTTGTCATTATTTTCAAGGAGTATATGACGAAACCGACTGTTGGGAACATCTTTAACAATATGCCAGCGGACTGGAAACTGGCCATTCCACCTATCTTGCTGCCAGTAATCAGCATCTTTGCTAAAATCCACAGGGCCAAGCATTTCAGCTACCCCACAGAACTGTCCACTGGCATTGACCTGCATGATAACAACAGACAAAATCACGACTGCGTATTATGAATCATGATAGAATAATGGGCAAATCATTTTATTATAAGTTCAGCACATACTGTCAAGATCAGCTTAAATAATTATTCCATAATAAAGGAACAACCTGACTATCATCTGATTACATATAAGAGCATGAGTCGTAGAGCTCCAAGGTGAATACAATACATTTCAGGTTTCAATTGGAAAGTTCATGATCAAAAACCCGAATGTGGAAGAACGGAGTAAAAGGACTAGAAGCATATCCATGTTGACATTCTCCAAACATTATCACTAACATAATGCAACTTCGCTGATAATAAACTTACACTGATTCAACTATCCAATAAAAAGAAAAACTTATGCTGATACAGAAAGTGCATAAAAAAGCCCTCAAGCAACGTACCGAAAACAAGAGGAAGACTGGACATTTAGCATCTATCTCCTTTGCCTGGCTATAAGCAGCATCCAACTTTTTGTTACCATGAGGAGTGCTAGCCCACACCCCATATTTGATACTTTTATGCACGTTATCTTCACTGAAAGACTTTATTATGAAAAACTTTGCAGTATCATAATCAGTTGCAAAATCTGGACGGTTGTATAAGCTAGGTGTAGCTTCAGACACCAATGATTCATCTATCCCATTACCAGAATAAGCTTGTTCGGCGGCACTCTTACTTCGAAGCTTTGAAGCCCGAGGCCCTCGATTACGGTCAAATCCAAAGGAGTCATTTGTAAAATAAAGTGATTCCTGTTCTCTTCTCCTACCCTTGTCAAGACCGAACCGTGTCCTATCTCCAGCATAAGAAACAGAATTGCCACCAAAGTTAGAGGACTGATATGATCCCCCACGCTGATATCTTCCCATAGAGGAAGTTGAAGTTGATCCATATCCATGCACTGGACTTTGTTGTGAAACCTGTAAAATGTACAAAAGGGACAAAAACATCATTTCCTTGAAGTAATGGACGTCAAGATTCAACAACTAGAAGAATAGACTCAAACCTCTGACCAAGAAACTAGTACATTTCAAAGAAGTAAACTATTCCATGAAAGTAGCAGTAACATCAGAAAATTTTCAAAGGTACAATTAGGATTCTATTTTCCATATTGAATCTAGAATTGTTGATATTTCAGTGATGAACCCGACAGATCTGGCTTCTTATGACCGTGAATTATTACAGCATGGCAATTAACATTACAGGCTCCATATCCACCACTGGGATTTTCTCAAAAACTCATCTGAAGAAATTAGGATCTTCATGTCACACCCCCAATACATCGGTTTGTATCCCTAACTTGAGCTATTCAATGAAACCAACCAACTCTATAGCCTGAATCCAACAGAACCGGATAACTATTGCAGTAAATTATTAGTTTATTACAGCACTACGACTGACACTACAACCTCCGTATCCACCACCGCAATTTTCTCAACCACTCATCTTAATTCTTAAGGCATTAGGACATCTTCAGCAAAACCCCCAATACATCCGTTCGTATTCCCAGATTGAGGTATTCAAGGAAATCAACCAACCCTGTAGCCTAACAACACGAGATTTATTCACCTCATGTAGGCAAGTGTGGATGGCAAATACACTCAAGAGAAACACATTTTCATATGGGCAGCAATTTAAAGTGCTAGGAGTTCATTGTAGGCAAATATTAAAAGATTATACTTGATTATTAACGCACCAAAAATAAATAAAAATGGTTGCTAGTTCTAAGCTATATAAATGCAGAAAGCAGTAAAGCTAACGAGAAAGCCCAATAATAAAGTTTCATTACATAGAATGCAAGACTTTCACAGAGGGCTAATGATGAGAGATGCAACAAACCTGTCCAACATGGTGTTCATATGAACCCAATATACCCATAGGTTGATGATAACCAGCAGGAGATGCTAACGGACTGGAACCAGGTGCACCAGACATGTTCCCTCCGCCGAAAGACCCATAATGTACAAAGTAACCTGAGCCAGGCCCGAACGGGTAGCTTTCATTATTATTATCTGATGCCATAAGCTCCGACGGCGAAACATGAACAGATGAAGGAAAATTTGGATTATGTTGTGGATAGAAAGATGGTGAGAATGGGATCTGCTGAGGAGAGTATAATTGCCCATCAAGCATTATAGAAGGCACGGGTGTGGCAACAGGAGAGTATTGCCCATATGCCATATCAGGATTGAAGCCATACCCAGAAGGGAATACAAGAGATGAATTATCATTATAGATCACCTGAACCAAAGTAAACACAAAGGGGGCAAAAGGTCACTATGAGCTTGATGTAGATCCAGTTATGATACTGCAGAAACTACAATAAGAAAATATCCTCACAGGAGACATATGTAAGCCCTCGGCAGCACTAGGATATTGAGCGTATCCATCCCATGTACCTGTGCCATAGCCATAACCTAAATCCAGAACAAAGTAACAGTATGTGATGTCAAAGTGCTGAACTCCAACTAACATTACCACTTTGCGGCCGCCTCAATAAAATGATCATAGCAGGAAAAGTCAAATTTGTCATGCATAAAAGTTAAATCAAATTTCTCACAACTGCATAGTTACAGGGGGTACTTGGATCAATAAACAACTGAAGGGGGATAGATTGGGATATATAGAAAGAGAAAGTTCCATTTTGCAACTCAATACAAAACGAAATAGAAAAAAAAGGGAGAGGGGGTGAGTCATCAAGAACTGAAAACAAAGGGTCAATATACTCACTTCCATATGAGAAGTTTTGTTCATGCTGAGTATAAACATCATGTGGAGGTATAATGCGAAGGCCTTCACTTGCATCTGTAGTATGTGGTCGCTCAATGGCAGATCTTGCAGGCCCGATGACAGATACATCAGAGGGGGGATTGCAGGCAACAATCCTTTCATCTTTAGGAGATAGTGGCTGTGAATAGATCAAGAAGCCATGTGCGGAATCAAACACAAATTCTGCATTGCATTAAGGCATAAAACAAAGTAAGTTTTTGAAAGAATTCACCAGTTATACCTGACCACCCAAGCTGTCCCCCTCTGGCGTCTCACTTGCATCCAGGACTGCCAAGCAACAGAAATAAGCACAAATCAGGGTCAATCTATCATTTACCATTGTGTTAAGATGAAAGAATTCACAGTATGCTGACAGCAGAATGTAGGAGTTCGAGCTCAGACAGAAGTGTTAAGGTTGGTACTGAGGCAATAAGACAACAACTGACACGGCCCACATTCATGACAGAGAGAGTCCTTAAGAATATCTAAACCATTCCCCGTCAAGGAAAGGGGACATGTATAACAAGGAAAAAGTAACACGGCTATGCTACCAGTCAGCTCATTTCATAGATGAGTGATACAAGATTCACTAACTGAGAATGTACCAAAATATTGAGACATTCAACACAAATGAAGTAAGACCCCAGGATCGGAGTCAGTAAAGAAACAAATGAAGTACTACCCATCATTCATCAAGTTGAAGAGGAACCAGAAAGGGTACAACCCAAGACAGAGGACATGAGAACTTACGCACACCCAAGAGAAGGCCGAGAAATGGCTAATCTCGTGCTACGGGGACGAAACGAATCGACACAGACGAAAGAAGCAACAGCGAAACAGGGAAAGCAAACAATTGGAAGGGAAAAGATGGCAAACGGGAAAGGTACCAGTTGGGATCACCCGATCTTGATCCTCCTGGGGAGCAGGATCCATGATTCCGAAATCTGAGATCTGAAGAGTCTTTTTCTGCTTTTTCTTCTCAATCGACGACAGTCAACCAACAAGGAACTCCCAAAAAAATTCAGAAAAAAGGGGAAAATGGAAAAGGAAAAACCCTAACCCTAATTGAGAACCTTCATTTGGGATGGTGGATCGAGAGAGAAAGATAAAACATGGAGTTTGACTTTGAGAGGGAAAATCAAAAAAGACAAGACGCAGAAACGAGATCTTTTGGGTTTTGCGACATTTGAACCAATACGGAAGGGGTTTAGAATCTTATGCAAAAAGCACACAAACTAGCAACTATAAAATAATAAACCTGTTTTTATTTGAGCATTCTACAAAAATAACCACTACAATAAAACTATTTACATATTTAGTCAATTTTCAATCTTATTTCCAAATCTATCAAGGGTCGTTTGGAAGTTGCGATTGTTTTGTTGAGATTGTCATTATTCATGTATTGTTTACAATGCATCGTTTTTTTTTGTTTTTTTAGCAGAAACAATACATGGATTGTTTATGTGATGTGACAGAAACTATCACTCATTTTGAGTGATTGTTATATCTCAACTTTTAGTTGTGATTGTTGAGATAGTTGAGTTGAGATTGTTTTGTCTCAGCTTTTAGTTGATGTGACATACACAATCACACATATCAAACGGTGTATTCTATAATGCATCAAATTCGACAATACATGTATAATATTATACATGCATTCTCAACAATACATCTATTTAACAATCGCAACTTCCAAACGACCCCTAAAACTCATTTTTGGGAGTTGCTATTCGTCGTCCTAGAATTTTAAATTTTATCGCCCTAAATTTAAAATTGAACAAATTTGCCCCTATCCGCAATTTCTAACCTAAACGTCAATTGAAGAATGCCGCCGGCCATCCCAAGATCGGAATCTGCTCCTCTGTAGAATTTGCTCGGTCTGTCGTCCTTCATCGAGCTCGAGAACGGAAGGTTCGCGTGCGTCGAGACCGGCACAAAGTCCTTTCCAAGGATAAAGAATTGTATTCGTAGAACAAACGGTGCCGGCTGGGTCTCGTTAATCATGCTCTGCCCACCCGCAAGGCTCCTCTTAACATGTTCAAGTAGGACCCTCTCAATTGGTATCACTAGAAAGGGGGAAATAACTCACCAACTTCTCCATTTGTTAAGTTGTGATTAAGGTTCTTAGTTTTTCCCGTAAAGTATTTACAGAGGATTGATGTGAATTCTTATTTTGAAGATCGAAATTGGTATGTAAGTTGACTGGGGATGCAGTGAATAAGTGTGAATAAGTCTGAGAAGCATATATGGAAGTGCATCAATGGGGGAAGAGCATACGTTTGGCCGGTACGGGCACGCCGCCACCCGCCTGGCCGTGGGTCGACAGATTGGGGTAAACACAACGGTGGTGGGTTGGGAGAATGGGATCGGCAGGTTGAGTGAATGGCAATGGCGGTCGGAATTTGGCTGGCGACTGAAGTTAGAATTGAAATAGGGGTATAAACGTCAATGTAGAATGGTTTAGGGCAAATTTTTTTAAATTTTAGGACGACGAATAGGGATTCATCATTTTTTACTGACAATTTTTTCTCAATCGAGCCACTTTTATAATAGTCATATTTTTTATTTACATTTTAGTCCTTAAAAGTTTTATAATTACCAACTTTTATCAAAAGACATCATGGTATCCAGATATGAGTCGTCCAACTCAAATTTGACTCATCTTGCCACCTTCGTGCTAGTTTCAAGCATTGTTTGAAAGGTTTGACGAAATGCCCCATAAATAACTGAATTTGATAGTCAAAAGGTAGGAGGCGAAGTTCTAAACCTCCTGAATGAACAATTAGATGCAATTGAAAATGAAAGAAAATTTAACAAAAGAGTTATAAATATGATATTCTAAAACATCGGCTAAAGAAAATGGTTCCATATATGTTGGACCCGACCAATAGAATGGCTAATGCTAATACTATCCACTCGTAAATCTATATGGGTTTAATGAAAGAAGCTTCGATTAAAGTAGATGGACGAATGTTTAATGAACTTGTTATCGTTGAGGCATGGGTTTAAACCAAATTATCCTCATAGGATTATGCAAGATTTCCTTCCAACAAATAATCCTTTAAGACCGGTCATTAATTCAGGGGCTTTTCTATATTAATTGTTGAAAGCATGTACCGAAAAGGATTGGTGAGTGGATTACAGTGCTTAGGATAACGGTTAAAGCGTGCAAGTTTACGCCTAATCAAACCTTTGAGTTTTGTGAAACTACTATGGTAGAGAATGCCCAAAATTTTGGAATGTATAGGCATCCGATACGATAATTAACAATGAAATTTCTAAAAAGGTTTTAGGTGTTTTGGCAACAGTAGTTGATGGCCAGAAAATAGAGTTTTGTGAATTTAAATTATCAACTGAAACTTTAAAAAATGATCAATCAGTTTGGCCCTCGTGAAACTGCAAACTTGTTATATGTGTTATTTGAGAACTGTGTTGTGAATTTCAAAAGTATTATTACAATCTAAACTTAGTATCTCACGAATAAATGAATGAGTTGTTCTTTGTTGAGCTACCAAATCTCTTTGCTGAGCTAATGAAACAACATTTTTCAATCCCTTTAATCATGGAATCGAATTGTCAGAGTCTAATTTACAAATTGCAGCAAGAGGAAGCGATCAATCTAGAAATCAGGGCTCTTTGTGGAGAAGTGAAGGAGCTAGTGAGTGAAGGAGAGGTGGAGATACGTTTTTTTGGGAAGAAAGGGTAATGAAGCAGAGCATCAGATGACCCGGGTTCAAAGTAGATGGGACGAAAACGAATTGTGGGTTGTTTGCCAGTGGGATGGGCAGAAAGTGGTGGCTGCTTAGTTGGAGAAGTTGATCTGAGTGGTAGTGGTGAGTAGTGTGTGTGGAAAGAAAGGTGTTCTCGGGTTTATGGTGATCGAAGAGTCTGCTCTCCCCTCCCGTTGGTGGCTCGTATCAAGTCTGAGATTACTTGTTTAGCTTCCAGGAATTTAGAGTTGAGTATAGCAATAGAGCATTTTTATAGTTAGACAATTTTGTTCGAATTCAGTTGATGAGTTGTAAAAAGTATACTTGAGAGGCCCTTAGTTACAAGGTGCCCTGGAGGTTAATGATAATTTTTTATTGTGCATAAAGAAAAAGAATTTTGATAACCAAATTAAACTTTTTATGACCAAAATAATTGGTAATATATCAACGAAATATTTTTATGACCAAATTTGTTGGTTACAATCCTTAATACTTTTCAAAGTAACTAACATTTTTGGTATATAAATATACTAAAATGGTCGCTTAGTAAAAACGAATCTTTCAAACCAAATTAAATTGGCATGACGAAAAGATATTTTCCTAACAAAATTTATTAGTTATCAAAATTTTATATTCTTCTGTTCTTTATTTTTCCTTTTGGCAACTTATTATTTCATGTTGTAATGAATAAAAGGAAGAGACGTTTTTTAGGTTGATATATTAACCAATTAATTTGGTCAGAATTTGCCTTTGGGCCATTTATTATTGCCCCAATTTGTTTCTTACCAACTTTGGTGAACTGCGGCAGGAGAGACGGCGGGAGGGAAGTGGATGGGATTGCTGGGAAAAGATGGAAACGGCGGTGTCGGAGAGAGGCGATGGTAGGGTTTTACTATAATATATAGAAATTTACATTTTAAAAGATTGTAACCAGGAGTGTATTTTTTTTTTACAAAATACCCTTAATCTAATTTTTACCATATATTTAAAAATAAGCTGAAATTTTAATAACCAATGGTTCAGATGTTGATAGTCATCGTGATTACTCTAAATTGAGTAACCACGCTAACGCGTTCCGTCAGGTCAACTGCATAAGTTAGGAATCCTCTAAAGCCAAAAGAGATTTGAATGTCCTTTCTTTGGAAGATTTTAGTTATGATCTTTTTGTGTTTTGATTTTTTTTAATTTATGAATTAAAACTATTGACTCATGTGAATTGGTATTTGGTTGGTAATATAATGTTATCATTATGATTCAATTGTTAAAAATGGGCTAAATTGGTTGCATTTCGTCCCAATTAGTAGTCATTTTGAACATTTTAAAACCATAAACATTGGTCGGAAAGAATTTTTTTGACAATAAAAATGGTTATTTTTTAATAAATAAATTGGTTACATTATATACTTTGCACAACCAAAATGACTTTTATATTTAGACTATATGGTGACCATGAAAAATTGGTTAGGATAAGAGTTTCATAATCAATATTTTCGGTTACTTAATGATAATTACATTAGTTATAAAGAATAGTTTTGTAACCAAATTTTTTGGTTTTAAATAATGGCTCTTGTGACTTAATCATTTAGTTGGTAAATGAGATATGAATTGGTTGGTTCTCATATTATTTTGTGACCAATCATGTATTTTTTTTCGTGACTATTTCGACATAATTTTTTATTACCAATTACCCTGGTTGCCAAAAAAAAAAACACAAAAACCCAGGGAATGATTCGACAAAATTACGTACCCATCCGAAGTATATATGCGGGCTAAGCAGTACGTGATGAGGTGGCAAAATATTTTCATCGACATTCCCTTATATTTATTTGTAGATGCACTAAACAGCGGAGTACATAATCAAACAACGATACATCACTTAAGAATGCCCTTCACCAGGTGCAGGGCCGGACTCGAATGGATACAGGGTTCTGTATAAAATAGTAGAAGTAGTAGTCATTTGATTTTCCTCACTACTACGAGTTTCCAAAGAAAGATTATCATCAGGGGATTTTTCTTGTTCTTCACCAACTGATGATATTCCTCCTTGGATTGTCATTTGCGCTTTTGAGACAGCTCCACACTGTGAGGCGAACGATAGCACGTAGCTTGCTATAAGCAGGGCAGCAAAAATGGTGCTCAAGCTACGCATGTTCATGTTCATGTTCATGTGTGTATTTTGTCCTCAACTCGGCGAAGAAGATCTGTAATTGGGGCAAAGCCAAAAAAGAGAAGGGTGGATAAGAGAAGGAGGAAAAAAATGGTTGGAGAATACGAGAAGAAATTAACAACGAATCATGAAACTAAAGAAGCAATTTATAGCCATTAAGGTGGGGAAGTAAAATTCCAGTCAAATCCCTATAAAAAAAAATTGAAGGCAAATCTTCCTATAAAAAAAAATCCCAGTCAAAAAAATTCCTATATAAAAAAATTCCAGTCAGATCCAAAGAACCACCCCAACCTAGAGATGATACACAAGTTCAATTTGAATTTTAACTGTTAAGATAACTTAAACGACATTAATTAGGAAAGTATGAAACTATTTAATTTCAGATAATGCATGGCATCCACCACTCCATATTTCTCTTTTCCCATCTACCCAACTTTCACTTTCTCAAAATGGACAAAACGTGAGCACAATAGGCCGTAATAGTAAGGAGAACTTGTCCGGTTTGGTTTAGCATGCATGGTCGTCTTACTTTGTTAACCATATTTCATTTTGGCCAAAATGAAAATCGAAAAACCGGAATTAAATGTTAAATAACCGAGATTAGATCATTTTGATACAGTTCCAATCCGAAGAAGAACAGTGTTAAAACCAGTGCTGTCAAAGCCGAACCGAGCCGGCCGGCCGGACCGCCAAAGCCGTCACCCGGCCGCAAAACCGGCTCGGATCAGCTACTTAACCGCCACGGTTTAATACAACGGCCGGCGAGCGGCCGAAGCGGTTAACCGCTCGAGCCGGTCGCTCGGTTCGACCGTTTAATTAACCCTAAAAAAAATGGAATTGGGCAGCCGCCAGCCAAACAAAACTGAAAACCCTACCTTTCCTTTTCTTTCTCCAGTTCTTCGACCTGAACAAACGAAACGACAGAGGGAGAGCGACGCCGTCAACCATCGCCAGCGCTTCCGTCCCGCCGCCTCAAGCAGCTCGCCGCCGCCAGTCGCCCTCGCCAGTCGCCATCGTCGCTTCTCGCAAGCAGCAGTCACCCTCGCCAGTCGCCCTCGCAAGCAGCAATCGCCGCCGCAAAGAACGGTTGTGAAGACTTCCCTGCTCACCGCCGCAAAGAACAGCCGACTCACCTCCTGCTCGAGGTAAGTTTCCTATCAAAAACTGCCCTGCTCGAAGCAAATTTCTAAAACAACTCTGTTAAACCTTAGCTTGGCCCCAGTGCAATTGAGAGAGGCATGTTTATAAATTTCTTGAAATCGAGCAAGCAACCAGTAAAAAGAGAAAGAGATATCAAAGCTGTAATTAGTTTGCAAAATCCAATTCAAAGAAAAACTGAAGAGATCGAGAAAGGAATTCGAAGAAAAACTTTCTCAAAGCTGTAATTAGTTTACAAAATCCAGCAAAGAGATATCAGAATGAACTGAAATGAAGAAAAAAAAAAATAACAAACAAAGCCAAAAAGAAGAGGAAACAATTTCCTAGCAGCAACCACTAAAGATCGACCAAGCAAGTTAGATTGTCAACCGACTCATGTGAGCTTTACCTAATCCCTAGGGTGCCTCCTACCAAGATCGTTACTTGTTTACTTGATTGAGTTATTTAGAAGTTTCAGAATGGTAGTGTTAGATTTTCCCTTGTAACTTTGCTGATTTGATCTTTCTTTTGTAGATGAGTATTCCAAATCAAGATAGTGGTACTCAATCAACAACACCAAGCTCTACTGCTTCAACTGGGCAAGCTGGTCGAGGAAAGAATGATCCTGCTTGGAATTACATCCAAGAAGTCAAAGATGATAATGGGAAGTCAAAGGTGCTGGCACTCAAATGCATGCTATGTGGAATTGAGAAAAGGGGAGGTGGGATTCATCTGATGCTAGTGATGGTGAATGAAATGATGATGAAGTTGTATTTGATAGTTGTTTGAGTTTGAGACTTTGAGTGGTTTCCATGTTTAAGACTCTTGTTTAATGTTCAGACTCATGTGATATTGCTTCTATTTTGGAACAATGTGGTGGTTTGGAATTGAATTTTAGATCTTTCAGTACTGATGTTCTAGAATGGTTTAAGAGAGTAATTTACTTGTGGTTTACCATGATTAAGAAGTGTCTACTATTACAGATGACTGTTTATTAGGTACCGGTTCTCAAACGGTTTTTAAACGGTCTAATGTCGGCTGGACCGCTAATGACCAAGCCGTTCACGTTATCGGATCATACTCCGGCTCGGCTTTGACAACATTGGTTAAAACCATAATGAAGCAATTTCTGATTTCCCATCTCGTTTCTTGAAAAAAAAAAAAGCCCCTCTCTCTCATCCGTATTATCAATTCCGTCTCCTTTCAGTTCTCTTCCCTCTCCAATCCATCTCGATCCTTCATCTTCATCCCGAAGAGATTGCAGGAAACTTGTAGCTCGATATGAAAGTCTCGTATATAAAATTAAGTAGCTCTCAAAACACACGTATGTATACGTACACAATCTTGCCCACACCCCTAAAAAAAAATCCGACGAAAATATCCCTCTTCCTCTCGAAGCATATACAGACACATAATAATAAGGACATATACGCGTTAGGGTTTTGAATCCTCACTTGCTCCAAACAGTACCCGTAATGGGTGGCTATACGGTCCGATCCGGTTAAATTGGCCCAAATTGATCCGGTCCAGTCCGGTCTTTTTGAAAATATAAGGACCAAAGATTGGATTGGATACATTCCAGTCTTGATCCGGTCCGGTCCCAATTCGTTCTTGATTTTATATTGAGCTTGTAGGGATTTGAGTGGCCTAAGGTATGAAAGGGTGAGGAGTTGGTTAAGTTTTGTACTAAGTGCAAAGGTTTATGACCGTTTATGCAAATTACCCTAAAGTTTTGGGTGTTGAGCTCTCTTATCCGGTCTTTATCCAGTTTTCGATCCGGTCCCGAACAGTTTTTTACCTCAAATCTAAGCCCAAAGATTGGATTGGATTGGATTGTTTACAATCCGGTCCCGGTCCGGTCTTGGTCCGGGTTATACGGTCCGGTTTCGGGTAAAACAAAAAAAAACCGGACCAAATAACCAGCCCTAATAAACCATGCATGCTCTTAATTACCAAACATTTCCCCCTCTTATCCAAGGAAAAATATAACAAAGAGTTGAAAAACTGTACATACATAGTTTTATTCCTCCATGAACATATGCATGTCTCGAATCATGGAGTACAAATCAATATGACACATACAAACTCTAGTTAACGATAATGTCCTTCACCACGAGGAGAAGGGCCAGACTTGGTTGGTATAAGGGTTCTGTATAAAACAGAAGTACTATCAGACAATCTTTTTCCTTCATGGCTAAGAGCAGGCACTGTTATTTGAGTTGTTGAAGGAGTAATAGTTGTAGCAGAAACCTTGTTCTCGAGTAGCAGTGACGATCGTGCTCCACACAGTGTGGCTAATAACAATACACAGCTCGCGATGAAGAGGGCACTAAGGAAGCTGTTCAAGTTATACGAATTCATGGTGACGACAGGGAGAGAATAGAGAGAAGCAGAAGAAGAAGAAGAAGAAAATGGCAGCCTAAGAGGTTGAAGAAAGATGGTAAAAGCACTGAGAAAGGAAACGAGAGAGATTGAGAATAAATAGAAGAAGGGATTGGGAAGAAGTGAGAAAGAGGGTAGTGGAGAAGAAGAAGACGACGAAGTAGGTGGCGAGATTTAATAAATGATAATATGCTTAAGTCAACAAACAAACTATTTAATTTGAGATCTCTCTCCCACTAACCTTTTTTTTTTCTCTTAAAAAGAAGGCATGTACAAAGGAAAGGTTATAGTGCTAGCATTCAATTTATTGTCATGGTGTTAACATTAGATTTGGCTATTCGAAACATTTCGTTTTGATAATTTTTTATTTTATTTTAAGGAGTTGATTATAATTAATTCTGGTGATTTTTAAAGAGAGTGACATGTTTGTCACTATGAAAATTTATGGGGCACACGTGTGTGGTGTTGTTCATTTATTCTACGTCCCGTGCCTCACCATGGTATCATGAACATACTAGAAACACAACAAATCACACTACAAATAACGTAAAGTAATAACTAATAAGAAAGCTTATAAAGCGGATCATATTCTCACCACCCACACATTCATAAAACATAATAGAAAATTTGAAGCAGACCATAAATTTCCTGAAACATACCATAAACCTCATAAATCATATCACAAGTTTTCTGATAATCCCTGGACGTTGCATAATAATTCCTACATACGTACACTAACAATGGACCAGTCTTGAATGGATAAAGGGTTTGTTATAAACGCGCTGCTACGGATCGGGAAATTGCCGGAATCGATAAAGCAAGAATACGAAAGCGAGAATCGAAAAACACAGACACACGATTTACGTGGTTCACTAACACGATGTGTGTTAGCTACGTCCACGGGCAAGAGAGAGCCAGTTTCACTATATCAAGGAGATTACAGATTACAGAGGAGTATGAGAAGTATTTATAATACTTCTCCATGTGGGTCTAAACCTAATCCAATCTAGCAAAGGTAAAGGTTACAGACCAGGCTCAGAACCCGAACCCAAATAACATTGAGCCCATACACCGTATTCTTGCGGCTGATAGTCCGATTCAAGTCACATCAACAGGATTCTTCGTAAAATAGCAGTAGACAGTCTATTTTCCTCACTACTACGAGTTTCCAGAGAAAGATGATCGAGAAATCTGAAGTAAAATTCCAGTCAAATCCAAATATCCACACCAATCCAAAAACAATAAATGATACATAGGTTCAGTTTTGAATCTGAACTAAAGATAAATTGAAATTAAATGACATTAATTAGGAAAGAAGAAACAATTTAATTTCAGATACTGCATGGCACCCACCGGCCACTTCACATTTCTCTCATTCTCCCATGCACCCAACTTCTCTTTCTCTCTCTAACAAAATGGACAAAACGTGAGCACAATAGGCCATAGGGAGGAGAATCGGTCCGGTTCGGTTTAACATGCATTTACGTCTTACCTTGTTAATGTCAAACTATATGAGAACTGAAAAGAAACTAGATCACACACACGATTTACGTGGTTTCCTCAGCAAGAATTGCTGAGACTAGTCCACGGAGAGTGAACCTCTCGAGTCAATATTATTAGGTTTTCAGCCACAAACGTCACCTACATACAACTCGGCCATCAACACTATATATACTTGGCCGAGATTAAGATCCCTAAACCCAAGGACCATATTAGTAATTAACCTTAATCAATGATCAATTACTAATACATACATATTAACTTCAACAGTTAACCATATTGCATTTTAGCCAAAATCAAAACCGAAAAATGGACTAAATGCTATAACTGAGATCATATCATTTTGATCCAGTTCCGATCCGATGAATTGTGTTAAATCGAAAGGATGTAATTTCTAATTTCCTTATCTATTCCGTCTCCTTTCAGTCTCCTCTGATCCTTCTCGATCCTTCATCCGAAGACACTGCAACCCGAATTCGTTTCGATTCTCATCATCCCGAAAATTAAATATCTCTATAAGCACACTCTCTGCCCACACCCCGAAAATATCTCTAGTTTTCTCTAAAAAAAAGAAAAGAAGATCACCGACCAGGCGACCACACCAATGCAAATGACTAGTGTAGTATTGTTGCATTGCATCCTCGACGCATATCCACACAGACGATCATATACCCGCGGCCATTAGGGTTTCGAATCCTCTAGGATACAATACCTGTCCTAGGAAAGAAGTAAACTAACATGTGAAGAGTTTTATGTTATGTGTTTATTCCTAGTTTATCGTTTTTGTTAATGAAAATCGTTGATGGGACGACAACCATGTGTTCCTCTTTTACAATCCACATTAACCATGGATACATCATACATGCTACTGTTTAGATTCCCTGAACACTTTCCCTCTCTAGGAATGGCAATGGGCAGGTCTGGGGAGGGTATCTCAATACCCATACCCGTCCCATAGCAGGTTGGGTAATTTATCATAGGACGCGCAGGTTGGGGCAGGGCGACCCAATGTGTATGTAATTTATGTGAAAAACATTAGAAATATTCGTTATTTTCATGAAAAGAACAAGAAATAAAGCATTATATGATAACATGTAATTAAGTTATTGGAGAAATTGAGATTTTTTTTTCTTATTTACAACTTTCTTATAGCTAAAATATGATGTAATAAGAATGAGGCGGATCGGGACAGGTCGGGTCGCGATGAGAGGTACCCATACCCGCCCCCGCCCCGCCTACGAGGCGGGTCGGACTTCCTACAAATCAGGTCAAACAGTTCAGATAAATCGGGTCAGGTCGACATTACCATCCTACCCTCTCACTCTACGGTAGCTCTTGAGGTTAATTATATTTAGTTTTACAGATCCATCTTTTTTTTCCCGTGCCAATTAGTTGATAGTTGCAGAACTGATTTGGAAGTTCCTTCATCTTTACCAAACATGCAGTATACGTACGTGTAAATAAACCATGCATGCTCTTACCAAACATTTCCACTCTTATCTGGCTTCAATTTATTCAAGGAAAAATATTACAAAGATATCGCTTGAGCAACTGTACACAGTACATATATAGTTTTATTCCTCCATGTATATTTCTTTAACCATGCATGGAGTACAATCAACCATATGATATATAAGGTCCAGCTGCAAAATGACGACATTTGTCATCAACTACTACTCAATGATTTCCTTTACCAGGAGGAGGAGGAGGAGAGCCATGTCCTTCACCAGGAGAAGGGCCAGAATCGGTTGGTCTAAAGGTTCTGTTTAAAACAGAAGTATGATAAACTCCTGAATCTGTTATTTGAGCTTTTGAAGGAGTAATAGTACTAGTAGTAGTAGAAACCTTGTTCTCGAGTAGCAATGAACGAGCTCCACATAGTGTGGTGAATATTAGTATTACACAGCTCGCGATGAGGAGGGTATTACTAAGGAAACTGCTCGAGTTGTGCGAATTCATGGTGACGGGAGAGAGAATAGAGAAGAAGAAGAGGGTAGCGGAAGAGGGTGAATATACAGAGAAGAAAACGAGAGAGGTTGAGAATATATAGAAGAAAGGGTTTGGGAAGAAGTTAGGAAGAGGGTGGTGGAGAAGAAGAAGAAGATGACAAAGAAGGTGGCGGATTTATTAAATGACCATACTTAAGTCAAGAAACAAACTATTTAATTTGAGATCTCATCCATCAAACCCACAGTTCTCTCTCTTCCCACTCACCCTTTGTATCTTAAAAAGACGATTTAATACAGATCCAACAATCCATACAAATCTAACAATAAGTGCTTATTCCGTCTCTGGTGGAACGATCGAAATATGAAAGAGAATCACACGTGTGTAAGCTCCAAAACGTGAAGAATTTTTGCGTTCAACTAATTCATTCCGTTGAGACGACACTCCAGAACAAGAATGTTGTGCTAGAGTACCACGAGATTTATAGAAAGCAAGCAACTCATTTTTTGCTAAACTCCCCAAGATCTAAATGAATGATCTTAATTGTTCTCCCAAATTGAGTTTGAATCATTTGGACAAACTATTTGCCGCATTCAATAAGTTCAGACTTTTGTCGTATGAAATAAACCCAAGTGTATCTGGAAACATGTTCGATGAAGAGTTCAAAGTACTTGTAACACATACGAGACGTAACTGGAGGGTGAGTCAGCACTTCTGTTAGTAATTCGAGTGATCAACATTAATATTAAATATTTCTAGTGTCATGTTTTAGTAAACTTAGTGAGGCATTTACCCTATAATTTCATAAGCTTCCTATAGACACCAAACAATGCAGAGCCAACTGAAGTACTTAAACTGTTTAGGCCATGACTTTAGCCTCGAATCCATCTGAATTAAAACTTCACAGTGATTAGATAAACCTGCAGCAATAGCTAGGGGTGTCGATTCGGTTCGGGTCGGTTAACCGAAAACCCGCACAGTGCACTGGCTACAAACCTGAACCCGACCCGAAACTACTGACTTCGGGTTTCGGTTACCCGAACCCGAAAAGTCCACTGACGGTTTCGGTTTGGGTACATGTAACCCGAAAACCTGAAACTATTAAAGATGAAAATGTAGGGTCCTGTTTTGTGAATTCAGAGCTCTCAATTTTGTTCTGTTTTGGTTTGGAAATTCAGAGCTCTCTCCGCCTTCCTTCCAAACCCCTCTCTCTTCCTCTCCTTGCATATTCCTTTTCTAGAGAAGCATCCAAGCTAGCTTCTCACTTTTCCACTCACACAAATGACATTCTTAATCACTACCCAGTACCAAGAACTAACCCCAAACCCAGAACCCCATTCTTCCCTTCATCTACTCTGTCGGCGACATCTCTCACTCATTCAGTACGCCACCGACTTCTCTCAAAATCTGATGGATCTGATTTCGTTTCTCCACTAGGCATTCAGATCCTTAACTCAATCTCTCTCCTCTCTTGATTTCCAGCTCCTTCCCCTGAACCTTGCATGCTGGCAGATTTCCCAGGGAACCCAATCCACGAGAAAAAAAGGAGGGATTTAGCTCCTGAAAACAAAACGGAAAGATAAAAAGAAATAGAAGTCGATGAAGCAAGGGGAGAAATCGATGAAGAAAGGAGCTGAATCGGCGAAACCAAGGAAATCCTAAAACAAGATCGGAAAAGGGTTGCGCTACCCAGATGCGGCGACGACAAGTTGCGATTTTGAAGGAAAGGATGAGTTTGCTGCCGAAGGGGTTGCGAAGCAGTACAATGAGCGCGGTGACTCCCCGGGGCGAGCTCCCTTCGGACGGCAGGTGGTGGTGGGTCCGGTGGCGGTGATCCCGCGGCGACATTTTGAAGATCTGGAGGACCGGCAGGACGAAGAGGCCCAAGCCCATCGATGAATCTGTGGACTCCACGAGCTCCTCGTAGCTGAAGTATCAGGAGGAGAGAGGAAAATGACGATGACAACCAGGAGAGCCCAAACTGCAATTTCGGGTTTTTTTTTTGTTCTTACTGGTTTTCGGGTTTAAGCGAAACCGAAACCGATACAGTCAGTTTCGGGTTGTAACCGAAAATACGAACCCGATAAGGCTAGTTACCGATTCGGTTTCGGGTTAAACCGAAAACCCAAACCCGCTTTGACACCCCTAGCAATAGCCTGCTGACCACACTCCTATAGGATAATTTGAAAACCAAGCACTGTTAACTAATGTCTTATCCAGCCTTTTTGGTATAGGTCTACCTTACTTCTTATTTGTCCAGGTAAATCAACGCCCAAGACTTAGATGATCCTCTAATTTTAATTATATCATCAATCAAACGAAGATTTTAATCACTGGCCCCATAGTATTGTGTGGATATAAGTTCTTGAAAAAACATATCAATTCACATATCCAAAATATATGGTGATTGATCTTATCAGATGCAAAAAAATTAAACTAAAGAGTAATTTCTTCGCCAACTTCCACGAGAAACCAATGTTTTCAATCTAAAATAATCTACCAGGACAACCATCTTGAGTATAACTATTTTGAATCCATTTTCATAGGAAAATAACTGACATGAATTATTTTATCTAATCAACTTATGGACATGTGTTCGAAAATTTTTATTGGGTATCATCTAGAAGGCAATTTAACCATATTTTCAAGTCTATATATAATTGTTGAATTTGGATCGAAAAAGAAGCCAAATTTAACTATTAACCTTGTAGATTGGTTTGGATAGATAGCCAATAATACATAGTAGAATATATTTTAGAAAATTGGGCCCTATAGTTGATAGAAGAAACAAAAAAAAAATGAAGCCAAATTTAACTATTAACCTTGTAGATTGGTTTGGATAGATAGCCAATAATACTTAGTAGAATATATTTAGAAAATTGGGCCCTATAGTTGATAGAAGAAACAAAAAAAATGGTCCCGGCGGGGCTCGAACCCGCGACCTTCGGCTCATAAGACCAACGCTCTAACCAACTGAGCTACGGGACCAATTTGATTCAAAAAGTAAGTAACGATCCACTTATTTATCTTAGTCTTTGGAATTGGATTAACCTCAAAATAAACAATGGCAACAAAAGAAAAAAGGTTTATGAGAAGTCGATGACTTTAACCATGAAGTTTGAAGAGCCTCTAAGGAATAATCACTTTAGCTTGCCTTGTTCAATGAATTGGTTTAGCTATAAATTATATATCTTGTACGCAAAAATATGGAATCTGTACATGCAATATCTGCTATCATATATAACACTTGCAACTAGATAGACACTCAAAAGGCATTTGCAGCACTGCAAGCAAGCATTTTCATAACGTTTAAGCACCTACAACACAATAACTATGTACACTATAGCTATAATGGGTTTTCATTATACTTATCATCAACAACATAAAGGTATCACAACTTTAATGCTAACTATAACAACAAAATCACTTCGTCTATTTAAGTTCTCACACGTCTCGGCTTCGAGATTTTCAACTTTATATTCTTTAAATAGGAAAGCACATCAGTAATATTCATTCTGTCTTCCAGCGTGTATTCACAACACGCTAATGCCAACTTCATAATCGATGATATGCAATCGACTCTAGCCCTGAAGTTTACTCTCGAATCATCCGCCAACAAATTTGCATCAGCAATCTCGGTTACTCTCTCTGGCATAAATGTAGTAACCCACTGCTTCATATCCATTCTCTCATCAAATGATTCTTCGGTGGGTTTTCTTCTGGTGAAAACTTCCATGAGTAGAATACCAAAACTGTACACGTCACTCTTTACCGACACAATTCCTCCCCCCATACTCTACATTGACAAAAACATGGAACCAATAATTTATAATTGCATACACACAGTAATATCATGCATAGAAGTTTATCTTGTTTTTTTAACACATACCTGGTGCTATGTATCCAACGGTGCCAAACATGCGTGTTTTAGTGATGGAATCAATGCCACCTAGTAACTTAGAAATGCCGAAATCACTTAGATGAGCAACCAGATCTCCATCTAGCAAGACGTTTTCAAGCTTCAAATCACAATGAACTATCGAAACCGAATAGCCATGATGAAGATACTCGAGGGCAGATGCAATATCTATCGCAATGTTCACCCTCTGAATGACGTCTAAAAAGTTATTGTAAGAATATAGCCACTTCTCCAAACTTCCATTTGGCATGAACTCCAATATACCAATGCCTTGAAATCAATTGCATAACAAATGCTAACAATTTTTATCAGATTTCTATGTCGAAGATTGCACAAAATCTCACATTCGTGATGAACGTCAATCGTGTCAACATCGGCTAGCTTCTTCCGAGAAATTGAACACCTTCACAGCTACACTGGTTCCATCGGCTAACTCCCCTTTGTACACACAACCAAAGCTTCCCTTTCCCAACAAGTTGCAATCATCAAACCCATTTGTTGCTCTTTGGAGCTCGAGTAAGGAAATCCTTCTCCATTTAGTTACAGGCAAAGATTCTTCCCTTCCACTCTTTCTGTTCCTTACTTTCCTATTCCAGCACCAAATGATCACCACAACTACAACAACCGTAGCAAAAGCCGTTAGGGAGAGAAGGCTAATCGCTAATTTTCCCAAGCGCTTCAGTCCAAGTTTCCTGAGAGAGCAAAAGTATTTATATTACTCGTGTTACCAACTTGATCAGGGATGATACCTGTTATTCTGCTCTCATACGCATAAAATTCTTCTAGAGATGAAAAATTCCCTAGGGGAGCTTGGAAGTGAAGCATCCTCAAATGAAGTTCCTGATATATCCAATCGTCGAGTGCATCTTGTCAAAGAAGTGATAAAGGATGGCTGCACAACAAGCCTCTTGTTGCCATCAAGCTTAAGGATTTGGAGAAATTCCAAACGGGAAATGGCATCGGGTGCACGACCAGACAATGAGTTTTCATCTAGCTAGGGACATCAAAGCAAGCTTAGAAGCATTGGCAATAAAGGGCGGGATGCTTCCACTAAGCTGATTTTCCCAAGCATTGAGAACAGCGGCGGATCCAGAACACAGAAGAGCGCTGGGCCGCATTTCATTAAAAAATTAGAATCGTAAAAAAACATTATAGTTTTTTTACAATATAAATTGTACACGACGGTATTTTAATTTAGCGAATGCATCAATAATGGAGTCCACATCCATACCAATAGTATACATTGTTTTAAATAAAATACTTTAGCAATCGGCTAGAAATTCATCGTTCATTTAGTTGCGAAATCAGTTTCATTGTTGAAAAGGTTCTCCTTGTAGTAGTTGTTGATACGAGCAGCGTCAACACTAGACAAATCAATCGTGCATTGTGTGTCCATACCTACATCCACTAACTGCTTTAGTAAATTTTCAAGGGAATAAACCTCATATTTCTTAGTTTTTTTACTTTTTAGACTATTAGAATTTTAGATTTCATTGTTTTTTTTTTAGAAAAATAGTCTTTGGAGTTAGAATTTTTAGACTAAATTTATAATAGTGATTTGAATACGTTAATCTGAATCATTTTTCTAGTTACACCCAATCTTATTATAAAATAACACTAAGCCGAATAATTAAAATCGAAAAATTTATAAACACTATAGTAACTCCGAATCTAAGGGAGGACTGGGCTGAGGCCCGGGGTGACCATCCCTGGATCCGCCACTGATTGAGAACCTTGAGATTCGGAAACTGTGAGCCCAAGGTTGGTGGGAGATTCCCGATAATTTGTCGTCGAAAAAATTCCATCCAATGCATAGATGAGATGTTGAAAATCTTCCACGGAATAGGCCCACTTAGCTTATTTTCACCGAGGCTGAGAACTTTTAGTGCATCAAGATTGCCCAATTCAGGAGGAATTTCACCTAACATCGTAGAAGATCGTTAATCATGATGTAAAATGTGGAAGAAAGAGGAAGATGCATTATCTTTTATCAGGATGAGATGGAGGATACTAATTAAACAAGTCCCAATCATCTAAAGAAATTTTGTATTTAAAAAAAATGTTATGTGTAATTAAATGATGACTATGGTAAATAACGATTTGCTTGAGCATAGTTAAATTTCCCAATAATTTTCGAATCCTACATGATTATTACCAACATTGAATGAAATAGTGGGAATGCGTTAGGGTGGATACTAGTTTTTTAGTAATCATTGTGGCTATCGATATCTAAACCCTGCATTAACTTTATTTTTTCCTTTTTTTTTAATGACGGTCAAGATTAAATTAAGGATAGTTTGGGAATCAAAATATCATCACACCAGATTATTACCTATATTTATAACCTACCTTTTCCAACCCTACCTCTACCCTCTCCACCCTCCCACCTCTCGCCGGCTGCCTCCCTCACCCTCCCGCTGCCTTCACCTCACCCCACCCATCCTCCCTTCCCGCCGGCCGCCTCCATCATCCTCCCGCCGTCTCACCCTCCCTTGCCCCCTGCCTTCTGCGACCCAACCGTTTCAGTTTCCATTCCGCTCGTCGCACCACCGGAGATTCTCTCCACCGCCGTGGTCCCCAATTCCCATGAAATTATTCCCTCTTTCCCTTTTCGTTAAATTCAGTTTGCAGACGTGGGATATCTTTATTTCTGCTAAAGTCAATTCATTTGGCTCCAATTTTTGGCAAGGTGCCAAGAGCGACGAAGTGAAGAAGCCCGCTTCCTCTGGTCTCGTCGGAGAGATTGATTTGCTCATAGTCGGTTTCGGAGTATTGGGTGGCTTAGGTAATTTTTTCGTATGGGGAACTCGACTAGAGAAGATGACGTCTGGTTTTTTGTTGGTATTTACTTTTTTGCATTGGTAGTGTTTTTTTGCATTGGTATTCTTTTTTCGCATATTGATTATCATGTAATAGTATTGTTGTAATCTGCAATGGTAGTTGTTGATAAGTGGTAGTGGTAGTGTTTCGTGTAGGCTGTAGTGGTAGTTGTTAATGTTTTGGTATTGGTTTCTTGTTTTTTCTTCTGCAATGGTATTGATTTTTTGTGAAATGGTGTAGATTTATATTGGTAGATTGTTTATATTGGTAGTTTTCGTGTAATGGTATAGATTTACTTCTGCAATGGTATTGATATTTTTCAAAGTGGTAGTGGTTGTCTAATGGATTAGTAGTGATTTCGTGTTGTTTTTTTTTCCCAGATAGATTGAGAAAAATAAGGAAGGGGATCTGGCTGGAGATTACGAAAGTGAGAAAGAGAGAGAATTGTAATTAATAGAATTTTGTAACTACCTAAAATGAAATTTATTAAAAAAATTAATTAATACAATTTATTTTTACTCCGAATATTAGCTAAGTATCTATATATATATATATACTATCTATTATGGTAATTCAATAATAACTTCTTACCACATAAGCACTTAGAAAATTCACAATGTGCCAAAGTGGACAATTTTTTCACAAACAAAAAAATTAATTATTGATCTATTTATGGAGTTATCTCTATCTTCTTTTAATATTTCTACTAAAATTAATAATAAGTTACACTATGAGAATGTATATAAACACACATATAAGTAACAATATTTTTTTCAATTAAACAAAATATAAAGATGGAGACAGAAAGAGACATATATTGCATTTGCTTAAACCAAAAATATTTGATAAAGTCTTATTAAGTAAATTTTAAACTCATATTCATCAAAATTTAATAATACATTAAATTCTGATGAAAAAATTAAAGAAGTACACATATATTTTATAATATTTTTATTAAACAAAATATAGTGATAGAAAGAGAGAAAACAAACGTTTGTCAATCAATCGACTTTGAAAAGTGAACTATTATATAGTAAAAAGTCTGAATATTATATTGACTGAGCAATAATAGTTATTTCTTAAAAAATATTGTATTCATCTCGATTAAGTGAAAACATATATTCATATTCTATTCTACCTTAAATTCTCCACATGCAGAGGAATCACATGTGCAGGATTTTATAATTTGTCCTAAGTTCTTACCCTTTCACGGTGGACAAGTTCTAATTCTTGCTGATGTTGGTTTTTGTTTACTCTTTAAATTGCCATCATTATCAATACAATGTAATTTAGTTAGTGACAATAAGTGAATTCAGTTTGTTCCTATCCCTTTTCCGGGTTGGATCACATCATTAAGCCCCAAACTTAAGAAGTTCCTTAAACTTTGGGTGGCCAATAGGGAGAGGAGAGAGAAAGGAGGAAGGTAACTAATTAAAAGGGCAAATGAGATAGTTTGCTTAATTATTTAATGTTATTAATAAGGATATTTTTTTTTTCAAAAAATAGAAAACATTTCCAATTTCCTAAAAATTCGCCCCTTCCCATTCTCCAACATCCGCCTATTCTTCGTGGAGAAAAATCCTAAATAAATTACCGGGAAAAACCCTAAATAATGAAAACATTATTAACTATGTTGTGAAATGTTAACAATCCATTGAATTCGATTACTGATGACGCAGGCCTCATGCTAATAATGAACAACACAGGCTGTTAATAAAGACAACTGTTGTGTTACTAATCAAATTACAAACGATTAACAATATTCGACCCACATCCTACTAGTGAAAGACACCAATATTGTTTATGTTAATAATATGATCATAATGTTTAACAATACCGAACATAAACATTACAAATCATAACCAACGTGTTAATAATGTTACAACTTTTTGATAATGCTACTTCATGTGACAAATAAATGAATAATCAAGAGAAACACACACGTTAACCATGTACCCATTTCTGTTGATCAGCTTCGTACATCGCTCCTACTCGACGCCGTTGCACACTTTCAGCCCCATTCTTTTTGGTTTCGCTCCCCCAATTTAACCTTGGTCGAAGCAAGAAGATACTGGAGTATCTCGCCGACTTGGAATCCTTCGGGCTGTGCATCTTTATTTCCAGTCGGCTCTCAGCTTGTGAACATGGAACCTGTGTGTTGTGAAATTTGGGTTTTTGTTAGTATATAATGTTGTCCATGACGTTAATAGTTACAGAAAAAGGTTAATAATCTGGGTAATTAATTTAATAATGTTTCAGAAAATATTAATAATTTGAAAACGTGAAAACGTTAATATTTATTTAGAAAGGGTTAATATTTGAAAATAATTTAGAAAGTGTTAATAATTTGAAATGTGAATACTGTTAATAGTTATGTAGAAAATGTTAATGATTTGAAACGTTAATAATCTGCATAAAACAATAATAATGATTTGGAAAACGTTAATGATTTGAAACGATGATATCGAAAATTTACGTAGAAAATGTTGGTAATCGAGATTAAAATTATAGTAACGATTTGACAAATGTTGATTTGAAAGGTTAATAATAGAAAATGTTAATAATCGAGATTAAATTATAATAACGACTTGACAAATGTTAATCATTTGAAAATGTCAAAAATAATTATGTTAAAAATGTTAATAATATGGATCTGAAAAGTTTATAATGGTTTGAAAAATGTTAATAATTAGAAAAAGTTAATAATTTGCATGGGTTGTTGTCCATCCAAGTTGCCCGACGTCTCCATTATGTTCACTTTCAAGTTTTTTTTTTAATTCTTGATTATGGAAGTCGCTTCTTCAGCTCATGAGAAAACAATGTAGTCAATACAGGGACCCTGGAGATTAGCAAGAAAAAACATCCGACGTCGAAAGCTGCTTACGAAAAAACTAATATTGGTCGACGCCGGGAAGAGAATGGAAAATGGTGAAGAAGCATCGGAACAAGTCGAAGGGGAGAGGAAACTGCCGCTGTTAGTGCGACGACGAAGAAATAAGAAAGGTCGACGACGGGATGATTGCTTGCTCAGACTCGGCCGCTCAGGGGGCTAGGTTTAAATAGAAATAAAAAAAAATCTAATATAAAATAGAAGATATTCACACTAGAGGCAATACGTAGCAATTGGCAGGAAAATAATTAAAACCTAATTAAAATACCTCAATTACCCTCATTAACTACTACCTACTAAATAACCATAAACTGTTCTATAATTAATTTAGATTAATCTAATGGCTATCATTCACTTAAGAAACTCCTTAAGCTTTAAGGCTTAAGGACCTTAACTTAGGCCCCTCCCAATCCAGCACCCTTAAACCCCTAAGATCCCTAAGCGACGGTGGGATGTTGTTAGAAATAAAGTTTCTAACGGGTTTCTAGATCAGATATAGAGATTGAAAATTTATGGTTTATAGAATTTAATTGAGGATTTAGGGATTTGAGGAGAATTTGGGGAAGAATAGAAGAGAATCGGCCTAAGCCTTTAGTGGGATTGAGGTCAAGAATTGAGAGGATAGGAAGAGGGATTAAGGAGATATATATAGGGAAATACTAGAAAACTCTAAGAATAAACTTAATTCTACTAGAAGACTACTAACCATAATAGGAACTACCCTAATAATGATTATAATAATAAATATAGAAACCCGATATAATTCGGTTTCTAACATCTCCTCCCCCTTCAGACCAACCTTGCCCTCAAGGTTGATCCACTTGACCCACTCCTCCTTCCTTCTCACGCAATGTGCACGTTGACTACTCCATTTCTTGCGCTTCCGTTTCTTCCAATCGTGCTCCAACTTCAATATTGGGCTTCTTCCACCAACCTTCTTGGGCTGGTCCTTTTCTTCAACCTTCACTTGCATGGGCCAAATATTCGCTTCCTTGACACGTTCGAACTTTGTCAGCTCCGCTTTGGTTGGCCTCATACTTCCACAACTCAAGGAATCCAATGATTCGTGCTTGTTCAAGAACTCATCCTTGAGTGCCATTTCACCAAGACCTTCATACACTTTTCTTGGAACAAGCCCATAACTCTGAATTGTTGCTTCTTCCATTAATTTTGAGTTTTGCTCTCTTGAAAACCCACCCTCTATTCCTCGTAGTGGTAGCCCATCTCCTTGTTTTTTTAAATCCAGCCCATTCAACCATAATCCAAGAAGATAGCCCATTTCAGGTCCAAACCTGCCTTGTGAACTCGGCCCATTATTATTTTGGAACTCTTTTAATTCCACCTGTCTTGGCCCATGACTGAGCTCGCTGGAAACATGAACCAACCAGGGCGCAATGGGCCCCTCGCCCCCTAGCCCGCTCTGCCTATCCTCTAGGTCCACAACAAACCCCATCCGCCGTTCCTCTTGGCCCAAGTTGTGCCAAGCTGCTCTAGGATTTGTGATAGGAAGGGCACCGCCTATGGGTTGGCTTTCGTTTGAGGGGGCGTGTAAGGAAGTGGTTAAGTACCATACACAGACCTGTATAAGATCCAGCATAACCTTTTTTCAACAACTCGAGTTATTGGGACCAACTGGTTTATGACAATATATGTAACATATTGTTTTGCTTGTGGGTGGAGAAAGATACGATGGATCAGATGGCAGAACAGTGAAAGCAGAGAAGGGAGTAGATTTACAACAGGGAATTTAGTAAGCCAATCAATCAACAGTTTTGTGGAGACTAACATAACATCCTCTTGATTCCTTGGTTATTTTCCACAGGGGACCCGACTCAAGTCTCCCAATGAAGCGACAGCTCTGATATTTCCTGCAGATTTATGCCTTTGGTGTCGTATCTAGCAATTAAGTGGTGGAAACTAAGCAAAGATAATGACAGTTTAAGAGCACTGTTGGGCAGAGTGATAGAAGTCGGTCAATTTTACAAAGAAGCTCGGAGCCTCATCTGTGAATATCATAGCTAAGTTGGAACTTGGAAGTCAGTCAAGCACTGGAATAGGAAGTCTTGGGTTTCCTTCTCTTTTACGCGTTCTTTCCACACTCTACTTGCGTCCTTACTCCTTAAATAAGAAACATTCCTAATCATTACGCAATATTTACTTATAATATTCAGGGTAAACACTAATTATTAATCAAATTTTTTCAGCATTTTTTTTATTAACCAAACCAATTGAGTTACTAATAATGAGTCAAATCTTATGTAATGCATCAAAATGTTAGTCATTTTTACGTTATCGTTAATAATTTGTAACTCTTTTCTTATTTAAAAT